TACGAATATGTCAAAATTTGACGTATAGTTAGCAGCTACTGACCAATTTCATCCGCTAGAACCTTGCGAAAGGCTCGTCCAAAAAGAAGACAACTAGAAACACCACACCTGCATACGGGAAATATTCAAAGAATTCTTATCAATATAAAAAGGATATAGCTCTCGGCGTTGATCAATACCTGAAGGATGTCCCATGCATTCGACTTCATTAAGTATCGCTGGAGATGAGTGAATGCATATTTGGCCTTTACAATGAGTCGCGGTGGTTTACCGATATATCGAGCCAGCGCTGCTATCTTCCCAAACAAGTCTGGTGTCAATTTGCCGACCCTGGAGGAATGGAAGGCATGGTGGGCCTTGGACGCAAGGAGCGATTCCACGTATGTGCTGCAGGGCGCCTCCAACCGCTGCGCCACAAGCGCCCTTCTTGTCAATATATTGAAAGATATTGAAGATAAAGTCCTCGGCGTTGATCAATCCCGAATTAACCAGAATTATAAAAGCCTCATAGGCGATTATAATGCAGTGGTTAGAAGCGCCCTGCAATACGCATGGGATCGACCCCTGGCTCCAGGCTCACGAAAGCCTCCATGCTTTCGTGGTCTCCAAATCGGCACGGGTTCGAGACATCGACAGAGTCGCTGTATAGGCCAAATATGCATTCGATCAACTCTAACGATATTTAATAAAGTCGAATTCATGGCTCACCTCTCAGGGATTATTGAACGCTGATAGCTTTATCCTTTTTTAATCTTAAAAGATAAGAAGTGGCACTACCAAAGCTTTCCAACAAAAGTTCACTCGCGTTCAGCAAAGCCGAACTAAAGTTGTCAATCATAGAAAAATTGTAGTACACATGAATTCTTCCTATATAATGTAACTCAGGTCAAAGAACTCCAACTCTAGTTTCGTAGCGATATTTTTGAAGAACGATATAAAAAAGGATCGAATCAGACCAGTCAGAAGAAGATATACAAGAAGCGGAAAAACAACGAGTAGTTACAGTGTAAATCGTCAATGATAGAAATTACATGCCCAATAAATGGTGGCACATAACCGGGCCATTCAACATGGAAATCTGAAGGATTGTGGAGAACATAAAACAGAAGTGAATGATCTATGACTGCTACAACAGTTTCTTGCGCGGTTACACAGTGGGGTTAAGGGTAACATCTCCGTCATCTCAGCAGGAAAGCGCAGAGCAAACGAACGATAATAAAAACGAAGAAAGGACCGATTACACAGTTATGAAGAAACTGCATAAAATGGACAAAAATGTCTGGTGAAGGTGTAGTCGAGTTAGCAAGCTCGTAGCTTCATCTCAAATCTTGAAATAATCGGCAAAAGTTGACCTTTTTGGATAAAAGTAGAAGTGGGAAAAAACAGTGAGTGCACGAGTTCCCAAACTTGCATTACAAATGAGAACAGGACGCACTAATTACCAAACTATCAACAAGTTAACATACCTCGTTCTCCTGATCCTGTTGCAACGTTTGATCAGTAGCTGTGTTATCAGATGAAACTGATGAGCTCGATGTAGTTGGTGAGTGGGTAAATAAGGAATTTGAAGACACGTCAGCAGCACGCATTGCCATCGATGTTCCACAATGAGAAGTGACACTGCTTGATCGGTCGTTGTGAAACACAGAAGGATAGAGACCACTATAAATATAGGCTTAATTAATGCGACGAAAATAAGATCAAAAATAAATGATATCGTATACTACCTACGGATGAAAATCACTTTCAATTAAAATACTCAAACAATGAGCATCGTCGGAAAAAAACTGGACAATTAATGATGCTGAGATATTTGTAAAACTCCGAACCGCAACTGTCGGCGGTGGGAACGAACGCGCTATTATCCTTTCCGGAGAGTAACGCGTTCACCACCACACCATGCGACTCCTTCGTTCCGCCTCTCTCAGCTAGTGCTATTGATCTTTTGCCATCATTAAGATTGTGATTATAACTATAGCCTCAGCTTAAGTGGGTTCAATACCGATTTGGGATCCCAGATAAATCCCGTTGACGGGTGACTGCTGATGGCAAAAGATCGATAGAACTAGCTGAGAGACGTGAAACGAAGGTCCCGCATGGTGTGGTGTTGAACGCGCTACACCCAGAAAGGACAACTGCGCGTTCGTTCCCCACCGCCGACACCTGTGGTCCGGAGTTTTGCAAATATCCCGGCATCACTGAAGTTATATTTCGCAACATACCCTGCCGTTAAAAAGAATAGGCAGCAAATAAAAAGTTTAGGTTGTGATTAAAACTGGACAATGTTCAACTTTCATTTACTACCTATTATTTTTTCAAAACCTCCCAACGGTTTACGGTCTCGTCGTGGCTGAGGTATTCGTGGGTCTCGGGCGGCGATGTATAGCGGAAGATCCATCCCCAAAGCAGGGTCTCTAAAGCTGAGGAGTCCGGCGTTTCCATGAGGAAACCTAGCCAAAAGTAAACCAATACCAGGATCCACTAACATCCTGGTTTCAAACTAGTCACATAGTGGCAAATCTCACTCCGATCCACGAAAGCTGCGACTAGTTCTGATGGAGACGACCTACGGCAGACCTTGGCCAGGCTTACCTCAGGACTCCAGGGTACCGCGGTGGCTAAACCAGCAAAATTGCGAAAAGTGGTAATTATTCTGGGGCCCATGCAATCAGTGAAAAGACGGGTCATTCAAGTATCCGAGCATTAAGTACTTATTTACTAGATACTTTAACGGCCCATTTTCACTAGTTGTGCAGATCCCAGCATGATCACCATTTTCGGAGATTTGCTGGTTAAACCATTGTGGCTCCCTTGAATCCCAAGGTCAGCCTTGCCAAAGTCTACCTCGGGTCGTCACCACACGCCAAGCAGTCGCAGCCTTGTGGATCAGAGAGATTTACCACCATGCGACTTTGATACCAGGACGGTGGTGGATCCTGGTATTGGTTTACTCTTAGCTGGGCTCTCTGATGGAAACGCCGGACTCATTCTCAGCTTGGGAGACCCTGTGGTGGTGTGGAGACGAATCTCCCCGCTGTACATGGCAGTCCAACACCCAGGAACACCTCCCAACCACGATGATGCGGTAAACCGTTGGGAGGCAAGCATTAAGTATTTTTTCAAAAACTCAGAACTCTAGGTGGATTCAAAACCAGGATAAGTAGACAGCTCCATTCATTTTTGGACGATATGCAAACTTGCAACCAATAATGTGAAAGGCTATGAAACATGCAGCACCGATATTTTGGAGGAAGTAATTGAATATTAGGTTTAGGAATAAATCCTCTCTTCTTCTCCTCAGGTGTTCGAGTGACGTAGAATACTTTATTTGGCAATCCCATGGGAAAAAAACATATCTAAAAAATAACGTATAAACAATGTCAGAGAAAGTGGTGTTCCGCGCGGCAACACTATTAAAGATTACCTACCTTTTTCCTCATATTTATGCAAGCCCACAGAATACGTTGGTCACCGGTAGCAGCATCTGTGTTCAGCATGATTGGCTCCAGTGAAGCACCACAATAGCAACACGAAAGCAGTTCTCTGTCTCTCTTAAACTAGTAGCTTAGAAAAAAGAAAGAACACATTCCCGAGACTGCAGAATAATTTTGAGCTCTGAGAAGGGTCTATTCGGCCCCCTTACGTAATGAAAGAACAGTGTACTACAAACATGCATACGTACAGCTTGTTCGTGCTCGTAAGCAGAATCGATGCTAAATTCATCGTCATCGTCTCGTTCACTGCACTGAAGGGACATGTCGCGTCGAGTCCCTCAATTCAATCGCTGCAAACACCCCAAACTTATTCGACAATCACACAATCGCTCTGCGACTGAACTCAGTCGCTTCATCGCTGTGTGATACCGACAATGTCCTCATCGTCATCACACGCAAGTGCTCGGTAAAACGCAGAAAAAATGTGGCCGTCTTACTCATCCTTTTGGTAATAACTAACTATGAACAGCGAAACTGAGTTGCAATATTGAACCCGAAAACACAAGTGCATACCTGGTTTCTCTGCCTCAAACATGTACTTCGGTGGGCGACAGTCATTGACAGTTAATCCAAACCACTTCACTGAAAGGTCAGTACACGATGAACATTTAACAAACACATGTGCGCACACAATTCACACTACAGGGAAGACGAAAGCATCCGTAACACTAGAAGTCAATCTCAAATGGCCACGTTTCCCAAAGCAAAAGTTGTTTTCAGAGAAAAGCAGTAATTAAGAGAACATCTTAAGACAACCAGTAAAACAAGCAAAGTAAACACAAAGGGTGGAAATAACCAATTCGATAGTTCGTCTTTTGTAACTAACGCTCAAAATGCTCCACCATAAACTTGAACCGCTCCATAAAACCTAACGACTAGAACTGGACATGGAAGACCGGCTCCAAAAATCCGGAATTCCTACCTACCTCATGATCCACGGTCGCAAGCTACTTCAAACAATTACTAAGAACACATCGGAATTTGTAGCAATGCGGTAAAATAAAAGCAAACACCACATACATTTACCTTTTCGAAACACTAAGGGGCTTCTTCGCAGGACCCACCAGACACTTTCCCACACCGCCCACTTCAGCCAGATCGATAGCGCTAGACAATCCACGTCCTGCACAAGTGAACAGACGTTGTTTGCTAAGCATGACAGTGGATGAGAATCACATCATGAATTCACATGGAGAAGATCATGAAAACCTATCCTATGAGATCGGTAATCCCCGATGCTTCTCATGTATGGTCACGATCTCCTGAGGAAACGTCTGATGATTCATCACGAGTGAGACTGTTCTACCACATATATTCCTTCTTCCAATAAAGCAAGTAATTATAGATGAATAAACGATTAACCTCAATATTTATTGACCCTAGAGAGCACATAAACCATAACGCGAAAAAAGAAGAAAACAAAACAATCATTGACTCCAGACTGGATCGAACAAGAGTCGATGAGCAGAACAGATTTGCACATGCCGTCACCTGCAGTTGTCCAATCTACCGCTTCAACGTCGATATGTACAACACGTTGTTTCCGCGAATGAACGCATCCCCATATTTGTTCTGCAGCTGCCCATTGTTGTACTCCTCCGTCTGTTCCAGTGCGATGTTCATAAATCTGGACAAAGAAACCTTATTTGTCTAACTACATGCCAAAAAATGATACACCACTAAATTTCGATCTTCAACCTCTACAACTTAAAGGTCATTAAAGTATTACGGAATTATTCTTAACCTCTATTAGCATACAATAGCTGACGTTTCGGTGGTTTCGCCTTCTTTAGATCCTGGAAAGGTCAAACTGTTCCGAAGAAGGCGAAACCGCGGAGACGTCAACCACTGTATGCTAATAAATTCTGTAACACCTCTCGTGTTTGCTCATTGAAGAAACAGCGAATTACCAATCAATGCCGAGGTTAAGAGAAAGTCGACCTTGGAAACATCCCTAACTTTATCACTATTTGGCATCAAATAACTATGGCACACACCAAGAAAATAGAAAAGTACAAAAGTATTGTAACTACCTGTCACCCAATGCCTATAAGCTTAATATGAACCTCCTCTTCCGTAGCATAATATGAAGCTGTAGTAATCCAGAACTTCTGCTCAAAATTTAGTTCGTGTATATAAAAACCTTACATGAGATTACTGCGAATCAGGCCAGCATGGAGCTAGGGTTCATAGAATTTCTCATAGCCCCAAAGTTCACCATTAACTGGGACATGTTAAAAAAAGAACAAATTTCTATCACTTAATTCCTCATCTTACTAGGTAGGCTTAACCAGCAGAAAGTGTGATTGCACGTTGCCTACCGATGCGTTTGGGTACCAAAAGGGTGTACGTGAACTATTGAAGACGTACTGCACTACTGTAAAGAACTATGAGCAAATCACATACCAGTTTTACTATTCATTCGATAAGATTATTCAAATTGTGGACACCCTGATCCACCAAACCTACTATTTCTTCGCAAATCGATCTGTGCTAGACAAGGTCGAACAGTTCTAGACACTAACTAACCTTACAAAAATCGCAAGCGATGAAACAGAGAGGAAAAGTCCCACAAAAGCCACGACCTCGTGAAAAACTGTAATAGCCAGTATATAAGATGTTAACATTGCGATCTCGACAACAGCCTAAGCTTAACTAGGTCCAATGTCGATTTGTGCACCCCAGACCAATCCCGTTGACGAGTGATTCTTGATGGAATTAGTACATAGAAAGCTAGCTGAGAGACAGGTGAAACGAAGGACCCGTATGGTGTGGTGGTGAACGCGTTAGCCCCCTGAAAGAGTAATATCATGTTCGATCCTCACCATAGACACCTGCGATCCGGAGTTTTGCAAATATCACAGCATCATCGCGATTGTGATTCGATAGATTGTTGTTACTTTCAGCTGTGTTCGCAACAGATCCACAACAGAGCAAAAATAACCACATCCTTCACGTGGATCTCATGCAACGCCCTGGATGCGGAACTTCTCCATAGTAACAGCACCACAAAGCTCTTTAGATACCCCACTATCTAGAAACTGCAGACCACATTTTGGTCATTTTAGACTAGCGTGGCATAAATCAAATTACCCATAAAAAAATAGCCATACCCATCCAGACAAGCCAGAATTCCACGATAGTCAACACCGGAGTTCAGCTTCACCACTACTGGTTTTCCGATTATTTGCTTCAAAAACTCGGAAGGATTTTGACGGCGGCTCATTCCACGGGAACTAAACGAGTTATAACAGTAAATCACACACACACACAACCCGATGATGGCACTAAACAACCACACAAATAGTACGAAGTGATACGCTCCATGCCGAACACTGACTGACTGGCACCGGAAGTCAATGGTTTATCATTAAACGGCCACTTTATTTTCTTCCCTGGTCGAATGAATGTACAGCCGATCATGATGAATATAGAGAAACAGTATTAGTAAATACAACACAAGAGAACTACAGAACAAGAACGAGTCAGAGCTGTAGAACTCCGGACCATAGTAGCGCTGTACTACAGGCCGAAATCCTCACGAAAATGAGCAACATGCCAACTTGTTAGCAACAATAAATGTAGAGACGGAAAATAATAACAGTGAGGTTATGAAGAGCACAAACCGGGTACGGTACAACTGAAAAACTCCTAACACCAGAACCAAAATGTCCATATGAAATGTGTTTATAAGGAAAATGAGAGAAAGGCAATGCTATGTTACATACCCAATAGTTCAATAATCATGAAACACTAGTAATTAACAAATGTACAGTCACGATAATGACAGAAAAGGTGAGTGTAAGAAATGATATAGCGCCATCTGCTTCTAGAGAGGCAAATCATATAGAAGAGGTTAGTTCTCGCCCTGTCCACTGTCCTCATCCTCCTCGGCATAGTCATTCTCATCGTCGCTTTCGTCATCACCATAGTCATACATATCTTCATCTGGAATCGTTAGCATCTAAAGATATCAAACAGAGGTAGAAACCAAACAATCAAACGGTGGGCGCTGATTTGAAGAGGCTTCGACCTACAGAAAATTTGTAGAGATAAGCCATAATTCCATTGAAAACGATGTAAATGTGTATTTCTCCGAAAAAAAAATAACAGAAAGCAAAATCATCATAAAAAAATAAAGGATAAAGCTCCCTGCGTTGATCAGTCCTTGACGGATGCGCCATGCATTCGACTTCATTGAGTATCGTTGGAGGTGAATGAATGGATATCTGGTCTTTACAATAACTCGCCTTGGCCTACCGATGGATCGAGCCAGTGCTGCTATCCTCCCAGACAAGGCTGGTACCAATTTGCAGACCCTGGAGAGATGGAAGGGTTGGTGGGCCGTGGGCGCAGGGGTAGATTCCACATATGTGTTGCAGCGCGCCTCCGACCACTGTGTCCCGCTCCCAAAGTCATAATATTATGCGAAAACTCCTTATAAACATTATTTCTTTTGTGTTTTGTAACCAACCTAGATCAAGCATGTCCATAGTCTGATCGTCACAACAGTGAGGGTGAAACTTTATACAGTACTCCTCTAGGGTCTCGGGAACAGTAACACCATCTTTCCGCGCTTCCTCTTTCGACTGCTCAACTTGTTTCCTTCAAAGAAACTATTCTACTAAGATGTAAAGACAATAAGAGTACCAACACGTCACATCTGTGTAGAACCTTACCTGATAATATCCGCATAGTTCATGTCCGTACCATCTTTCCATTTTCGATACATAATAGAAGCGTCGACATTTGCCGGTGAAGAAGTATTCGGTTCATTGAGAAGTGATATGACAGAAAGCAAGATTGTTCTGCAAGAGACGAACTTGAAACAACACCTTCTTGAACTATTACGCTAGGAAAAACTTCAAATGCCTTCAAAGCTAAGACTGGTAAACACTTTGAATCCAGTGTGAACTCATTTCCACCCAAAAGTGCGACAACGGCTGTGCGCAGTGGATTTCATGGATTGAAACAGAAACCACTGTAACCCATAGATCTTTCCCAATAAGACAAAGTTTACTTGCCCTATCACAATCCTGATTTCAATTCGGACTTTATATGCAAATTTGGCCTAACATTGGCTAACCTCACGCTTTGTGTTGGATTCCACCTTTCGCATGGCAACTCGCCGCTATGGGGATCGTCAACTGGAGGATGGAGAATACTAATGCATAGGTCCCCGTTCTGAACAAATACTCGTCAGTGATTCACCTGTCGACAATGAAAAAGCACTACGTCACAAGCCAGCTGCATTTGCCTGTCACGGCTTCGATAAAGCTTTAGACCGTGGAGGAATATCTGCTAATTGCTTCAGTAGGAGGTAATGACTTGAACATGCACATAACACGAACCTCATAGACGTTCGGATGCCAAACCTTAGTAATGAACTTCATTGACGGCGGAGAATAAGGATAGTTTGGTGGGAAACGTATCACGGCTTTAAAATACCCTCCCTGAAAAGGAAAAAAGCAGATCACAAGGAGATATTGCTACACCTTGCAGAAATCGAAAGTTAACCACTTCATTCACTGCTTATTTACGAACACTGTCTCCTTCCTTTGGATTGCTAGGTTATAAAAAGACGGCTTTCTATATTGAAAGCTGACGACAATAAAAAGAACTTGCTGGTAGACAGGCAACGCACTTGGTACAAAGTGTTGGGTGGCCCATAGATCCCTACTGTCCAGACAAATAAGTTTTCGTCGTTGACTGAGATGGTGAAGCCCTCGAGAGGTTGCGACTCGATATTCTTCAGTTCCATCGCCAGTGCACGGAGCGCGCCGGCGGAAGTGGACGCCATGTCGGCCATAGCCTGAAAACAACGTCGGCGGTCAGAACAGTTTTCTTTCGAAGTGCTTGTACAGCAGGTGATCGGAACAGAAGTGACCGAGAACTCAGACGAGCCAAAAATGTCTGGTGAGAGAGACCGACATAGGATGCGAAGAATTCTCCCTGACCGGTGACAGCTTCTTTGCTGGGAGATCAGAAAGAACAAAACGGTATGTTGAAAATATCGCTTAATAAGGCAACAGAAAACACATCATTGGACAGTCCGGACGACACTAATCCAGTTTCATCCTCCGTCAGCTGATCGAACTCGTTCACGTGCTCGCACATCGCATCGTCGCAGGACCAGCGCGTACTCGAATTTTGCGGTCCTTTAATGACTTCACGCTTTTCGTTCATCAAGTGGTGTGCTTTGTTTAGTTGGAGAGATTTGGATTTTAGGCAAGATAGAGTAGTAATTTTGAAGCAGCAACGTCAGCTGGATGATTAGAAGAGTATGTCTGTCTATACGTCTAATAACCATATCTTCGTGTCAGAACTCATGCTGCGAACGGGATATTTCGTGGTTTATAAACTTCTGGTTCTTTTACGAATATATTTAAGACTCTATAGATACTCTTTTGAGATATTTGACTGTGACATGTAATGTAAAGGATAAAGGATAAAGCTCTCGGCGTTGATCAATCCCTCAAGGATGCGCTATGCAATTCGACTTCATAGGCACCGTTGGAGGTAACTAAATGAATATCCGTCCCTTACAATTACTCGCGGTGGCCTACTGATGTATCGAGCCAGCCCTGCTATCCTCTCAGACAAGTCCTGTAGGTACCAATTTACCGACCCCGGAGGCATGGAAGGCTTGGTGGGCCATGGGCGCGGGGATCGATTCCACATGTGTGTCGCAGTGCGCTTCCGACCACTGCATCACACGAGTCTTCATCTTATACTTACCTATTAAAGTCACAAGTTAAAATACACAGATGATTTGAGATTTATCGGCTCCTCAACCTTCAAGGTTAGACCCATCATCAGTTATGTAGACAGGCCCATGGATAGAATAGCTTTGTTGACAAACCTAGTACTTAAGTAGTCGCTGGAACACTTTCCACCTCTTCGTACAAACACCCAAATGTTCCTGAACCATCTACGGAACGAACGCCTTAACAGGGCGCACGTGGTGGAGTCCTTCGATGACACCGTGATTTATGCAAACGTGTCGAATCAGTCGGCTATTCAAGTCATCCTCGAACACCTTATACAACACGAAGAAGGAATAAACATCTCTGGCACGTCGATTCAACAGCTCATGGTCCCACTAAAGCATGCATAAATTGCTCAATCTTCGAGTGGTCTGGAAAAGATTACTCACAAATTCGATGGTTGGCAATGGGACAGCGAATGGCACCAAGCCTTGGCATTAGGTTTATGTTTAAAGCTGAAACCTCGTACTCTGTCTACGACCTCTACCCTACTGCAGGTGTATCGACGACGACTACTGCTTTCTCATTTGCTCAACACAAGAGGTGACAATAATGGTTTGAATTACAAAAGCAACAGTCAGACCACATAAATTTCGCGCAAGAGAAATCGGAGGAAATGTGTTTTCCATTTCCGAATGTTCAATTTAACCAATCCGAAAACAGCTACGTCACCAAATGGCACCAAAAGCCACAAAGGAAAAACGTACTGGTTCACTACCTCTGCTGTAAACAGCCATCAGTGAGAGAACAGAAAGAGGAATCTCTGGACTTGACCCGAAAAATAGCTATTTCTGGTGGCTTCGAAATGATAGCTACTTGGGATAGGTTCGGAGGAAACGTGTTTGAGTGAGCAAATTGCCTGTCAAAACTGACTTTTCACGATAACGAACCCGTTTCCTGATCAAGAAAATAGTAAATTATTGACGAATCCCGAAGTTAAAAGAAAGGCTGTCCTGGGATTCACAGTTTTCTACATGACCCGACATCACATACTATGCAGATTGCAACAGTTCTTTATTTCATGCCGCTCCTTTGCTTCCACCGTCCACGAAGGTCTTCGTATTTGCGTGCGGATTCTGATATAGTTTGAGAACTTACTCTTATTCTTTAGTGTCGCTGAGCGCTAATCGAGTAGATTCTCAGCGGAATCACTGCATATCAACTCTTCACCAGATGCAATCATTCTTATTTAAGGGAGGGAAACTTCAAGTTTGGTATTAATGTCGCGATCATGGGGATGATGATAGGCCTGGTTGGCCAAAGGTGGAGCAGGAAATGATAGTAGTGTAAAAAATCAAAACAGAAATGTGACGTTTAAATTTAGCGTAGAACAGAGAGAAGCACTTTCCTGAGCACTCGGAGAAATGCCGACGTAATGAAAATTGTAGAGGTTATCATTGGCATAAAGGATGCGTGTGCCGCAGTGGTCGGAGGTGCCCTGGAACACACAAGTGGAATCGATCCTCGCGCCCATGGTCCACCAAGCATCCCATTCCTCCGGAGTCGGCAAATTGGTACCGGACTTGTCTGGAAGGATAGCAGCAGTGGCTCGATACTTCGGTAGGCCACTGCGGATCACTGTAAAGGCTAGATATGGATTCAATCACTTCCAAACGACGCTTAATGAAGCCGAATGCATGACGAATCCCTCACGGAATGATCAACGCTGAGAGCTTTCTCCTTTTTATCATTGGTAAGAACCGAGAAACACTAGCATTTCTGCAACTAGAGAGAAGAGAACGGATCTAGTTGCGAGAAGAGCAGTCAAACGCTTGGAGTTTGCGGACTTGCATCCTGTTTTTTTTCCTCCATCAGCTTTTCAGGCAAAACGGATAGTGGTGAAATCACAACAATCTAGCGCTCAAAGGTGGATGAATCCTGTAATAAATGCAAACATTCTCCTTGATCGCTTTATTCGTTGGTTAATCGTAGTAAAAATTTCAGTTGCCCTGAAGAAACAATAGTTGCAGGGCAACAAATTTCGTGCTGTCCAGAAAGGCCAGCAGTTGCCTCGTGGGATGTGAGAACGCGCTGATATGGCTATCTCGGATTTCACGAGTATTTCAGCACGTCATTAAGGAGTGAAGACGACGATCGCCAAGGTGCAGCGTCCCGTACACATCAAAGTGGGGCAGCTAGCTGTGCCTGTGTAAATTCCACTGTTGCTCGACGACATCTCGTCATCTAGGAAGATTTGCCAACTTACCAGTGGGATTTTTCAGAAAGGCAAGTATCTTTGTGATAGGTTCAAGCAAAATGTCCGTTCCAGCAAAGTGCTCAGCCAATATTTAATATTCTCAAATTCCGGTGAAAAATAATGAGCTCTAAGCTTCCGTCAAAGTCAAAATCGTACTAATCTAAGCGCTGCAACCGGTCGAACATCATGTTCCTTGTAAGTCTGAGAGTTTCTGGTGCAAGCAAAGAGATCAGGTGAGAGCTGCTCCTTTTATTGAATAGCCCGGTTGTTGAATTAGGAGAATAATAAATTGTTCGACACGTTAGTAAGAAGGTGCCGACAGTTGCTTTTAAACTGTTCAATTACTATTATTTCTAAGAAACGTATTCATTGCGAAAACCTCAGAAATATTGGGAAAAGCCAGTGCAAAGAACTCTTTCACTCTTCGTCTAAGGACGAATTATTAAGGACGACTAAGACAACAACTGCTTCATGCTATAAAGTGAGCGCGACAACAAAGAGGAAAGTTTTATGCGTATTGAAACCATCTGATAAATCTGCCTTCATAATTACTATCACTACCAAGTAGCAATGAGAGAACATAGCCGAAAAGGCAACGAACATCCTCTCCGCTATCAATGAATCACGCGCCAGTAAACATCCGCACATTAGACAGGAAGTAACTAGTCGAGCATTATTGAATGACTAATATTATTTCGAAACCGACTTTCCTGTAACCCCGTTATGACTAATCGATAGGTGCTCTTTCTTTGGTGAACTAACACAAGGTTGATAAATATGTGTGTTTTCGGCTAACGTTTCGACGTGTTCGTCTTCATCAAAACCGATAATCCGAGTCGATGGTTCACGTTTGTTCTTCTTCTCGGTGTGGCGGGTTCGCCTTAGTGTCGTGTCAGGTCTTCCTCAGCGAGCCATCTCCTCGAATGAGGCATACTCACTCGGTGATGCCCTTTTATTAAAATATTATTACGCTTTGTACTAGCTGATAATAACACAGACTTCTGCACGATGGGCTGTCCGGAAAGGAAACAAGTTGTTATCACCGGACAATCACAATTATACACCATCAGTATCCTATAGAAAAGGGCATCACCGAGTGAATATGCCTCATTCGAGGAGATGGCTCGCTGAGGAGGACCTGACTCAACACGAAGGCGAAGCCGCCATATCGAGACGAATAACAAGCGAGGACCATCGACTCGGATTATCGGCTGTGATGAAGACGAACACGTCGAAATGTTAGCCGAAAATAAATGTATATATATATATATATATATCAACCTCATTTAAGCTCATCAAAGAAAGAATACATATTGACTAATGTTACTACGAAGCACAAACGGAAATACGGCTAGTGGTTACAAAACGGTCTAACGGCACGTGTGGATTTTCCACAAACTCAACGAGACTTTAGATTGAGAGAACTATACCCGAACTGATAATAGCAAAAGAACATCGAAAAAAGGCACCGGGACTCAAAAATGTGATGCCGATGAGTGAGGAACCCAGTGAGAGGAAATTAGCAAAGAGACAAATAAGAGAAGAAAGCCATCGAAACTTGTCCTCAGAGGGAGGAACTGTTATATACAAAAGCGTATAGACGAAACCTCCTACGATGCTCAACCAGCGAACCTGAAATCTCTTTTAGATTAACAGGAACGCTAAACGACAAACAGCTATAGCAATGCTGTCACTGTTTCACAAGGAAGTTGACTTTTCGATAACTAACTATCACCGGTGCACTTTAGGAGTTCAGGATTCTACAGGTTTACAGAAGAGACTGCTTTTTCGCAAAAATCACAAGTGTAGTTTTTACACAGTGCCCTTTCAAATCCAAATGTATCCAGATTTGGATGTTTCGAGAAATTGGTGGCAAAATTAAGGTTTTTAAAATGCCCAATAGAACAACGACAGCTGCAAACATAGACGATACCTATGAAGAACACCATCGTCTCAATCTGGGACCAAATACCGCTTGTTCACTTTCTTCGAGTTGGAGATATGAGCCTTGAAGCAAGAAGCTGGAGGAACTATATGTCACGGGATCTAGGAAATCAGAATATCTTCTTGATGGAATGAACTAACTTCCGATAGGCAGAAAACTGTAGACTCTAACATTTTCTACCGTAATTAATACAATCAAATATGATCTGAGATATGGTGAATTAAATCTGGAAGTGGCCGTTACTTTCGCATTGCATGACTTCCGACAGAGATCGCTATGTGGATAAAACTGGACGTTTCCTAATTTGAGGATCGGAAGAAAAGGATAAAACTCTCGGCGTTGATCAACCTTTGAGTGATGTGCCATGCACTCGACTTCATTAAGCATCATTTGGAGGTGGTTGAATGCATATCTGGCCTTACGATGTCGTTAGTGTTAGAAAATCCCCACTGATGAACAGCAAAGGCGCTTATATGAAGATGTGGAGACGTAGGCGATCGCTGACGCAGCAGTTTGCGATGACCTTGCACTTCCTCGTCGTGGTGACGCCGAAGCAGCATGAGATAGTGCCTACGATTTTGTTTCCACTACCCTGAAAATTTTATTGGTCAGCTTAGAGTAATAAAAAATGTTTTTGGCCTTGCAAGACTATTGTGACCTACTGGGTGACATGTTACGCATCCTTATGATAAGGACCTCCAGATTGTTTACATGAGAGAGATTCATTAGCCCATAGCTACACCATTTCGTCTCATATTGTGGGTGAATGCAACGTATAGATGCGGTTTACGACTTGTGTTTTCTTTTGAAAGTTCTATTTATGGCCACTGCGATAAATTAGCCTGTGGGTAAAATGAATGGGGCTGTCGTAAGAAAACCAGAAGTCGTCATATAGTTTTGATAGCTTTGCAATACTGGCTCACGTTAATCGTTCTCCCACCTCGTTGTTTCGCCTCATGCAGTGTCTTTGGCTGTCAAACGGCATCTTCATTCACCACCACTCTTCAGCTCATTTTCCATCTTACCAACTGCAATCGTATCCGCCTTCACACCAATCTCGCAGAGCAATTTCCGGTCGTCTTTGTTACGCATCCACTTCGACTTGAACGTTATCCTAAGGAATGATTCCATTCTGATTTCCCTACTGGATAGATCTTATTTGGCCAGCTCCAGAAGTGATGCCTATTTTAAGATTTCTTCAATAATCACAAGGAAATCAGATATCTATTTCTGAAAAATTATAGTTTGTCATACCAACTAATGCGTGCAGTGGATGTTATACTGTAGTAGACATCGCATAAAGCTCATAAAAAGGATAAAACTCTCGGCGTTGATCAATCTCTGAAGGATGCGCCATTCATTCGACTTCATTGAGTATCGTTGAAGGCGCTTGAATACATATCTGGCCTTTACAGTGACTCGCGGTGGCCTACCGATGTATCGAGCCAGCGCTGTTATCCTCCCAGACAAGTCTGATACCAATTTGCCGACCGCGGAGAGATGGAAGGCTTGGTGGGCCATGGGCGCGAGGATCGATTCCACGTGTGTGTCGCAGTGGCGCCTCCAACCACTGCACCACACGCGCCCTTAGGCATCGTATACCTTCAAAATTTCAACTATGACACCAATTCCTCCGTTGTCCTTTCCGAAATAGACGAAGAACAGAGCTACACATTTAGTTCGTGTTCGAAAATCTATCCCAATGCACGATATGAAATACGACCACAAGAACGCTGAGATATAAGCAGAACTTGGAGCCTCAGGTGGGCTTCGAACAAGCGATGACCCTTTCAGAGGGCTCTCATGCTAACCACCCCACCAAGACAGTCCTGCGCTTTACTTTTCTCTCAACCATATTTTTACCCTATCGGTGATGTGCAATCACCAATCACTCAATTACCGCCTGAAAGAATTCTAGCGGCTGCAAAGCAAAACTGAGGATCCTAGTTTTGCTCATGGCTCAGCATCCTTGTCGCTGTATATCACGTGGTACTCTGCAATGGAAAAACAGTAGGCAGTAAATAACCGTTAAAACCTATCGCATTGTTTGCGTGGGAGTGTTAGAACGAAGTGGGGCAGTGGAAAAGTGTTGACCGTGGAAAGTTAGGCCACATGCTTCACAACACCAAACATTGTTCGCTGGCACTTTCACGCTCTGTCAGACTTTTCCATGATGGTGCGAGACCACTCCCACCTTGCGGCAGTGCTTGCGTTTCTCTCCTCCACTCCTCTCCTCCACTCCCACGAGCCTCCGTCAGGGTGGCGGCCATGGGCGGCAGACCTGGACGACGACCCACTGATTTACTGCGCCGACTGCGTTAAGCAACTGTTCCCGTGGTCGCCGCAACCCGCTTCCTATTCACCTCGGCATCGTTCGGCCCGAGCGGGCATTGAACTCCCTGCTCGATTCGATCACTCCTAGCTGCCAGTGGTACCCTATGCCTATGGGGACGATGCTATGATTTATTAGCTCTTTATCCGGTTCCCTATCGAACACCTCGACGCTGATTCCTGATGTTTTGCTTATTTATGCCGGTGCTGAACGAGTCATCGCTGACGGCAATCGATCGGCACCATATGATAGCGCTGAAAACTGATCGATTATTCTCTTCCAATAATCAAGCTTTGTGGTGTTTGCTTGAGAACTTTTATTAAGGGGGTTAAAGTAGAAAAAAAAACTTGGCTCAACATTCCGCATTTGAGATAGTTTTGTGAAGTTTGCACGGAACTCGGTTGCGTCTTAGTTACCCTTTCACAGCTAGGTTTGTTCGTCAGCATGGCTTCACCACGATTGCGTTTTTTTTCATAGAGAGCTTGTTGAATTTCTCGTGAGCTAAGGGAAACGGGGATGTCGTAACGGAAACTGTTGGAGATCTTGCCACTCGGGAGTATCTTGACGCTTTAGCGCGGTCCCCTTTTGCTCATTTCACTTATGTCTTCGAACAATGAATGGCGCTTAAATCGTTCAACACCATACCTTTCGGGAACACTTTCGGGGAGAGGGGGTTTGCGATGCCCATGCTATAATGGCTATCTGACTCCGAGTGCTATATGACCTGCTAACTTCATTACCTCACTCCCGTGTCCCTCAACTCCCAATTCCTTCCAGCTACACCTACTGGCCATGTCATCGACATTTACTCAATAAATTTGGTTCCGTATCGAGCGTCTTATCCTAAAATGCAAGGTCTTCGTGCTAAATTTTCCTGCTTACGGTGTCGCGACCGCATCTGTTCTTTCCTTTTTATCTATGAATTGCTGTGCTTCCTATAATTGTTTGAACTTTCTGTGCTTTTCTAAGTCCTCGTTTGCATGTTCTTTTATAACTGACCGATATTGTTTATCGCTGTCATGATACCAACTATTTCTTTGGAATAAAGGATACCCAGTTCTATTTATTACTGTTTTTAACTTGGTATCAATTGAATCGGTTCTTTATTCTCAAGTGCAGGAAACGTGGAGACTTAATTTCTGCCCTCTTCTGTACTTCACCTTCGTACGCGTACTGGTTAGAACACCCGCGATGTTTGCTGAATGGAGTTCATGATGGAATCTTTCTGTAGCATCCCAGTCATTTTCTGTTTTAACTTTTTTCAATTCATCAACGGTCAACGGTGATATTGGTGACTTCCAGTGCGATAGTGTCCATCAGGCAGCGACGGTCTTCGTTGGGTGTACCGCCTTGACAACAAGCGCGCTCACTGTCGGACTGAAGTCGCCTTGAGCATGTTTTCGTATTCCGTACATCACCCGATAGTCGTCATCAGGAATTCACAAGAATCTCATCAAGTTTGCCGATTCATCACGACTTCCGTTCCCTACAACGTCGTCAGCACTGTGAAGTGATCAAAAACCGTTCGTCTTGAAAGTGCCTTCATCGACTCGAGTGGTGGTGACGGTGGTTCCGACGAATGCCTATCGCTGACGACTCCGACGGTACTTTCCGCCTTTCGTTCCGCCAAGGCAACCCTGATTTTTGGTCTTCGCAAAGTGTACTGCTTGCTACTTGCACATGTCACTAACATCTTTTGTACGCCATCATTGTACATGTTGGAAAGAGTGAAAATTCCTGTCGATGATGTTCTCGTCAAAAACGCATAATCCTCCGTATACACAGGCGTTATCGCATGTCACATTATTGCATTCGCAGCCCAATCACAGCATACATTTGGTGTTGCATCCGTTTTCGCCTCTTTCCACCCCCGACAGGCTCGCCCTCTCGTTTCCAGTTTGAGTTTATGCTCACAGCTACTTGGTTTTACGGAGGCAAATCTATCTACACCAAGAGAACTAATGAAATTGTTTCATTTTCGTCGAATAACATAATCTAGCACTTCACTTGTTATACCGAATCTCGGAATTTTTCAGCCAAGATTATAGTGTTCTGTTAGTTTTTCTGTCTTTCTGCGAATACATCTCATAGTTCAGTTCCTGGCCATTCCTCGTGTTGGTGTAGTTCGCTTCTTGAATTCTCATTATTGGTTGTTCTGGTTCCCATGAGATCTTTGTGAAAAAATTCACCAGTTCTGCCCATCCCACTTTCTTGTCCCAATCTCCTACATTTATTTGCCTGGATTTGATCGCTGTTGCATGGCCGGATGACAGAGTCCGCACAACAGGGTTTAGTTCCGCTCCATAGAGTTGCGTCCAATAGGATGTTATCTAGCCTTTATCTAACCTTTATGGAATCGAATAGTGGGTCTAAGCGGAAGAAATTGAATGTCTAGTTAGAAAAGCAAGGAATAAAACAAGTTGTAATTGAAATTAAGCAGCTTATTGTCAGCGTCAGCTTTGTTAAAAATTAGGGCTTTCGATACGTCAAGCGGTGAGGTTACTAGTGCTGGGTCCATGGGCACATTTGTATAGAGTGGGTTTTTATGTAGAACTTTTGGCGTTTCCTAACTAGACATCGATCCGTTCATCATTTGGTGCCAGCAGGTCAAGTCGACACTCCGGTAGTAGCTTGCTAAACGAAATCATAATGGGATGGGACGCGGACGTGGAGGGGTCTTTACATCAGCTCCATCAACTCCAACTGTAGTTACTAGCCACTTTAGTTATTATGTAGCTACCAAATTATTTTCAGTTATTGCTGCCTACTACTTCAGTTATGCTATAATTGCTTTCGGCACAAAAACGCTTCTGTCACTATAGTGGGATTTTACTTGCTATCTGTTAGAATTTGAAACTAGCTGAGAGAAAGACGAAACTAAGGACACGCATGGTGTGATGGTGAACGCGTTAGCCGCCGGAAAGGGTAGCAGCGCGTTCGTTCTCCACCGCAGGCAGCTGCAGTCCGGTGTTTTGCAAATATCTGAGCACCATTGTACTTGTATCACCCATAATACCCTGCCGTGAAGAATTGTAATAGGCAAGAAATAAAAGGTTAACCTTGTGAAAAGAGTATCTGTCAAAAGACGGTTGGACATGCAAAAAAACAAATTAGGCAATGAGAGAGATGCCGACCGGTTGAAACGTTCCAAAGATGCAGCTATGTGACGACATTGTGACCGAGCAGTTGTCCGTCCACTAAAACTAGGCATTTGGTTGTAATTCGTTTCCATTTCTCTATGTGTTCGCTAGTAGCGAGTAATATATGTAATTTTACTGGCCAAAATCAGATTCTGTCATTGGATTCAACAAAACTGTGATCTGAGGTCTTTAATGGTCCCAAAATGCGTTCCGTATCTATCTACATCCTGGGCGCGTGTGGCTCAGTGGTCGGAGGCGCCCTGCAACACATACGTGGAATCGATCCTCGCTCCCATGGTCCACCAAGCCCTCCATCCCTCCGGGGTCGGCAAGTTCGTACCGGACTTGTATGAGAGGATAACAGCACTGGCTCGATACATCGTTAGACCACCGCGAGTAATTGTAAAGGACAGATGTGCATTCAGTCACCTCCAAACGGTGCTTAATGAAGTCGCATGCATGGCGCATCCCTCAGGGATTGATCAACGCCGAGCTTAATCCTTCATTATCTACATCAGGGTTGAAAAAAAACCTGATGGCTTACGTAAAACTTTGGAAAGTCACATCCATCCAAGTCGCTAGTCAGCCAACTTATGTATCTCTTCAGGATCTGTTTAAAGTGCACATTTTCAACTTTTCCTGATTCGTTTCCTTCTTTTCCATCTCATTTTTATAAGGCATCTTATTTAGGTGTCCTGATATTTATTCATTTTCTCATTGTATTTTGCGCTTTCAACCGTCAACCGGTCGTTATCCATCTCCCATGACATGTCTAACCATTACCAGTAGCAGCAGTTTCGAGAATTACGATGTCCTCATGTGGTCTTCCACTTACGCAAGATGGGTCGGCTTTTCAACTGTCGTTTGTCTTCCAATAACTCTACATTCACCCACCCCACCTTTCTTTTGGTGGAATTTGTCTACCTACCTGTTATCACGGATCTCCCTCATAGAGGGATCTCATATCGGTTAGTCTCGATGCAACGTGGCGCGTTTCAGGTGGTGGAAGGGAGTTGACCACGCACGAAGAACGTATGGTTTATTGAAACGCTGGTAGATCCAAGGGATGAACTCCCTGTTGCTGCTATGCCGATTTGGCACATATACCTTCCGTATTTACGAGGATGTATTCATGCATGCGTGCGTGGGTGTGTTCTCGCTTATGTGGGTTGTATTCCACGAGTCGATTCGACGAAAAGGCTGGAATTAAATGACAGGGAAGTGTGCAGGAGGCGAAAACGAGCCGCCTCCACCGAATCAGCTCATCCGCCTACTCTGGGAGCGAATGGGAAGCTACCCGTGTGAACATCCAGCTCCACGTTCGGAGCCCAGCAAACCATGCGTCTGTATCAAACGATGAACACGGTAAAATAAGTGGGCTTCATTCACTTAACCTTGAAAGAGCCTTCGATACGGGAGCGTTGGCTAGGACGATTACGGAGAGGCTCTCAAAGTCCCAGAGCCATTCTAGGCTGCCCAAATCGCAAAGGACTAAGGTGACGTTCCGTACCTATAATGCACGCACACTTGTATCTGAGTTTTTGGTAGAGAATTCGATCATGCGGATAAGAACGGTAAGCTAACACGTCATCGGACCGGCTGAGATGAGAAGACGCTACCCATTCAACGTCGTCTGTGACACCGAATAACAGTTGTTCCTCGGAACATTCTGTAATAGAGTAGTCGGGGGCGTCGGTGTTCTCATCAACGAGAGTTTGGCCAACATCGATTCAATCGGACAACTAACAACCCGAATCGGACGTTAATGGTTGAGCGGATGTGGATCAATACCGGCTTTAACAATCTTCGTCGTTTAAGCACCTACATCAAGGTATGACGAAGATGAATTCGAAGCCCTATATGAACCTGGGGAAGCCCTAGAGGAAAGACCATACATTCTTTAAGGTCATCAGTGGTAATTTGAACGCTAAGATTGGACCCAGAAGGAAGTCAGATTGAGACTCATGGATTAAAATGGAACGATCAGGGTGGGCGGCTGTCTGAGTTTATCGTAAGGAGCAAGGTAATTAATGATAACTTGTAATTCACTGAAGCCCCCGACACAAACTGGGATTTGTTCAGCTTATTAATGATCTGTTGGGAAGATGTCATTCTCAATGACATCGACTAGGAATACAATCGGTTCATTCAACACCTTCACGCTAGCGCTTAGGAAGCTGAAAGTTCGAAGGTCACCAAGAGACGTCTGTCTCCAGTAACATTCGAGCTGATACGCTTGCATGGAATCCCAGGAGCTACAGGCAACAGCCATCTTGGCTTCAAACTTGCAAAACAATGCAGGCAGGCGATAAAAGAGGATCTTAGAGTGGGAGGAGCAGCAGTTATGGTCGAAGCGGCCGAGGCTAGGAAAAGCATTCGCGAAGCCCACCGAAGTTTCGCTAATTACAAGACCAAGGTGATTGCACTCCAACAACCAGACGGAGCAGTTACAGCTTCCAGAAAGGTAATGGAGAAAATCATTCACCAATACTACTCGGATCTTTTCGATAGCCACGTCCACCTTCTGTCATATGAAATAAAGGAGATATATATATATATATTGTACTACCGGTTCTCCCTCCCGAAATCCGACATGCCATTTCGTCGGTGAAAAATCGAACAACACCAGGTCCGGACAGGATAAGACCAGAACATCTGAAGAACCTTCCACCAGTCCTCGTAAACACACTGGTTCGGTTGTTCACACGTTACCTGTCTGAAAGCAAGGTCCCTACTCAGTGGAAGACCAGCAAGACCGTGTTATTGTTCAGGAAGAGTGACATACGTGATATCGGCAGCTGTCGCCCAATCTGCTTGCTGTCTGTCGTCTACAAACTTTTCACTCGAGTAATCCTAAATAGGATTGACAGAACACTGGACGGAGGACAGCCATGTGAACAAGCAGGGTTTCGAAAAGGATTTATCACGGTGGATCACATCCACACGATAACAAAACACTGACGGATTGCAAGAGTACAAAAAACCGGTCTGTTTCACGTTCATCGATTTAAAGGAGGGTTTTGAAGTTGATACAGAAGGAGTCGTTGAAGCCACGGACAGCCAGGAAGTCGCTACTCAGCATATAAAGATTCTTCGTGACCTTAGGCAAGGCGATACCACCTCGCCAAAATTGTTAACCAAAGCCCTCGTAAACGTCATGCGAACACTGGAAAGAGTGAAAATCGATGGTCGGTAATTACACTATCTTTGCCTTGCTGACGACCTCGTCCTTATAACACCAAACATTAGCCAAGCGGAACGAATACTTGCCGACTTTGATAACGTCTGTGGAAGGATTGATCTTCAACTAAATCTCGCAAAAGCGATGTTCACGGGAAGCGGACTGGTTTTGTATGCCCCATTCTCACTCACAGTGTTCCAACTACGTCTATCTAGGTTGGTAAGCCAACATGATGAACGAGTTGGCATCATAGTTTAATAGGAGAAAGCGACTGGCTCTGGGAGCTTTCAAGAGCATCAAATGTAGTGAGAAGAACGAAGAACAAACGATTTCGAGCCAACGTTTTCGACTCCACGATAATCCTGGCTTAACGTACGCGTCAGAAACCTGATCGCTGCGCAAGCAGGATGAAAGACCACTCAACATTTTAAAATGTGCAGTCGAAAGGAGCATGCTGAGAGTATCTCGTATCACACAAGTGTGGGAACGGATCGGAAGCTCTGATGTGCTTCAAAGATCAAAAATCAAAGACGCTGTTATGCAAGCAAAACGGTCGAAAATATGGTAAGCCGGACGAGTAACGCGTTTGAACGACAACTGTGGAGAACAGCCGTTAGCGACTAGATTCCTGGAGATATCAAACGTACTACAGGAAGACTACCGACCCGATGATCAGAGTCCTTCATGAAGGCACCAGAAGGAAGTTATGATGCGAGTCTCTAGAGCGAGCGGAACCCACTGCTGTTACAAGCGATCGCCAGAAATGGAAGATTTGCTGGCATCTGCTCGAGTCACTCGACGACCAACTTGACGATACAGCTGACCTGTTATCAATGTGGACAAAGGAGACGACCTACCAGCTCTAAGTTCTATGTGATCTTCTCAACATTTATGAATTAGCGTTGTTCTGATTGAATTCCTCTCAATTCCGAAGCACCCATAAGTCTGCTCTTTATATGAGATCTGCTTTTTACGTCTCTACCAATGACGCATTTAAAAGTTGAGTGAAAGGTTTTGCAAGGGAAAATTATGCTACTAATGACCCTTGAAGATGTTCTCGATTATGTTCATGTTCAGTTCACTAGTTCTGTCCATCTCGGGAATCCACAAAGAAAAGCTTACATATTTTTATTGATTGATTTCAGTCGCATGTAGAAGTGGGGGTGGAGGGGTGGGGGGAGAGCTTCAGATGACCAATCACAAGGTCGGTAAAGTGAAAATTATGATTCTGTGAGAAACACAATGTTGAAAGCATAGGCACTGTATACAGACTATATTGAATCGACAATCAGAGCAGACGACAGCGTCGGACAAGACCCGACATGGGTCCTCGACCGCAGACCTCTCTGGGCAACGAGTTGGTGCTGGATGGTCCTTGGTGATCGGCTCGAGTGCTGCCATCGGTGTTTTGCCGGGGCGTTTGTCATTCGGTACACTAGCCTTCGCTCGTGGTGAGCGATGCTATGAGTGTTCTGATTCCCTTCTGATCAAATTTCGATCCCTTCTGATCCAAGTCTTTTTGACAAGAATTCCTACTTCGATCCGTTTTTCTTTTTCTTCAGGTTTCCTTTATTTTCTTTCCTCTTTCGATATCTCTTGTTTTTGATTGTGATTTTTTCCGCCGACGACTGAAGCTGAACACCTTGCACCGGTTTCCAGGAAGTCTGTAAGGTCTGTCTATTATTCAAACCAATTTATGTGTTATTAAGCTCTACCATGAGTCCTCGCAGTTATTTTTACGAATGATTGGTTTGTAGATTCTATATATGAGCTTCATCCATCTACCATAAAATGTCTTTTCGTGACATTTCCTGGTATCCATGGAAGCAACGAAGGGTTGCTTAGAAATTCGATCTCAAAATGGCCATCCAGCGCTGACATCTTTTTTGGAATGGCGCATCGTTCATGATCTGGGGCTTTTTTTAACATCTGGCTTGCATTTTTGACGTGGAACTAGTCATTCTCTGCTTATTTTACTCCTTGTCGCCATATATTTCATGCTTATTGATTGCTGAGAGCTGGGTGGATTTGAATCGATTCCATTTCAGATGAAATGTTGTGTTGAGTATGTGAACGCAAAGCGGTGAGAGCCCATCATGCTCGAAGGTAAGTAAAAGAGGTTGAACTTTCCTGGAAGATAATTCGAAGGCTTGTGTGGTTGTCTCTCTGTGTTTCTTCTAGTTTCGGGAACTGATCAAATTATTAAAAATTGCATTAAACCGTGTACTCTTTTTCCTGCTGTTACTAATTATCTATTCCTGCTATTGTTAAAATGCCACGAAATTCTCTCATTGAAGGATTGTTGGCTAGTTAGTGGCGATGTTACGTGGCTGGCCCTCGTATTGTTGATATGAGGTTGAGCGAGGACCCAACGCGATTTTAGTACTTCACCAGAGACCTGGCCCTCAAAGAATGAATTCTATAAACTCGAAAGACCGACTTTCTATGAACCTCGGCATAAATAGTTGATATATTTATTTATGTGATCTTATAAACTGATCTTCTTAAGCTGACGCGAGGTTGGTACAGATCTTCGTTGTCGTTGTCGTATAAATGAATTCTATACTTCTGTTCCCTCGGCAGTTTAGACTGATCCAGGAGAACTTCACCTGGAACCCACGGACTAGAACTGAACAAACACAGACGTCTCGGTATCTTAAATATCCGTTGAACTCTATCCTTGGTCGGCAATCTTCCTCACTCTGCCTCGTCGTTGTTCGATGTTAGAATTTCGCAATGCAGCAAATGATGATGTACTTGACCACATAACTTTTGACCGCAATACATAGATATTGCTGTTTCTTCAAAGTTGTATTTTGTTCATACAGAAGATACTTACTTTCGCAAATATGCGTGGAGCTCTAGGTGTTGTAGATAAGTATAAAATTACGTCCTAACTTGCAAAGGTCCGCGAAAATACGTAAAAGAGACCCTAAGCAGTGGAGAGTAGCTGTGTTGGTTGACACCATCGAGGTTGGAAAGAGCAGCCACAACATGTGCTTGAATTCGTCATTTGCAAGCCTGAGATTATACCCCAGACGACCTCTCGCACCCCTTCCCAACCCCAACCACCCAGCGGTTAACCGCCTCATTGTGGTTGGGAGGTGTTCCTGGGTGCTGCGCTGCGATATACAGCGGGGATTCATATCCCCAACAGAGTCTCCCAATCTGAGAACGAGTCCAGCTTTTCCTTCAGGAAACTTAGCTAAGAGCAAGCCAATACCAAGATTGACAAACGTCTTGGTATAAAACTAGTCGCATGGTGGCAAATCTCTCTCTCTGATCCACAAGGGCTGCGACTGCCTCTGGGAAGACCGGGGGCAGACCTTGGCCAGGCTGACCTCGTGATTTCAGGGAACCACAATGGCTTAACCAGCAAATCTCCGAAAAATGGAGATTATGCTGAGGTCCGCACAACCGATGAGGACGGGCCATTCAAGTATCATGTATCAAATAAGCTTATCCCCAGACGACGTCCAGACGACACATTCACTGCATGAGAAGTGAAAATATTGAAGTCCATCCATAATTTCTAGTCTGATCTCTTCGATTGCAATACCTACCTGCTTCCATGTCAGGGCGGCCTATTTGAGACCATGTGGGTGCAGGACTAACTGCGTACACTGGAAAAATTACGGTTAGTCATCGTCTACATACTGGTTCAGATTCCAGACGATTAGATGCAGGACAGGTTTGACAGCAACGACAACGATATAGCAATTACTTTATAAGAACAAGTGCTGTTGTATATTAAATTGATTCAAAAATAACAATGGCTTTTGACCGGAAACTTGGAATTGCTATGGCTTAACCCTAGCACAATTCTTATATAACACAATAAGAGGCAATAGAATCTATACGTCGTTCCAACCAGATAGAAATGTTTTTCTGGTAGATGAAACCGCTCAATATTCAGATTTCACAAATTTCTCGAAGATGTCTTCAACTGAAACGTTGCTGTTGAATATTTTTCCAACTCATGTTTCAAGGTATGTGTAAAAAAAGGCCGCGTGTGGGGCAGTGGTCGGAGGCGTCCTGCTGCACACTTATGGTATCGATCCCCGCGCCTGTGGCCCACTAAGCCTTCTATCCCTACTGGGTCGACATTTTGGTACCAGATTTGTCTGGAGGGTAGCAGCACTGGCTCGATACATCAGTAAGCCACCGCGAGTCATTGTAAAGGCCAGATATGCATTCGGTCACCTCCAAACGATGCTTAATGAAGTCAAATGCTTGGCTCATACCTCAGGGATTGATCAACACCGAGAGCTTTATCCTTATCATTGTGTAAAAAACGATAGGTGGAGCAAAATTTGGTTCCTGAATGCTTTCAACTGTTTCGACTCAGCCAGTTTTCTCACATGATACTCTGCCATTAAGAAAATAGTAATAAGCAGTAAGTAAAAAGTTAAAACAGTGTGATTTCAGTTGCAGATCCAGCTTTTGACGGGTGATTGCTAATGGCACTGTTAGAGCAAAAAAACTGGTTGAGAGAATGAGAAAGAAAAGGCGTCGATGATGTAGTGGATAACACATGAGTCCCCGAAAGGGTAATCGCGAGGTCAACTCTGACCTAGGGCGTGGGTTTTGCAAATATCTCAGCATAACTGTGGTCGTATTCCATATAATACCCTGTCGTAAAAAAAGTGGTAATAGGTAGTATAAATAGGTCAAAATATTGTTGTGTTAAATGTGTATAGTCGAATAGTATCTGATAGGAAGTAGCGCCATTTTGTGGCACAAATTAGACTGTAGAAATCGTTAGGTGCTCCATCTCGCTCCATACCCTGAACTGAACGTCTTTGTTTAGGATCGACTTTTCGTCCTACATCAAGCTGCCATGTAAATAGTTGTTTTTATTGTGTAAAAGAAACAGAAGGCTTTCTGACGACCCACTCATTCAGTTCTTGCTGCTCACTTATCGAGCTTTAATACCTTTGCTATATCTTTCAGTTAACCAAGAACGAGTCGTGATTTCTGGGTTTTTCTGCAATCAAACGTGTAGTTTTGGAGACCAGCTCCAGTTATCTGCTTCAATTCGTCGTCATCTTCGTCGTCAACTGCTGACAACGTTCTCCGTCATGAGGTTCATGAAGACAACACGGAGCATGACCTATCCAAGCTCTCCTGTCTTCTGATGCGCTGCTCAAAGATTAGGAGAATTGGATCTAGAAATATTCGTACGTACGTTCTCACGAAGTGCCCTTGTTGAGCCAATGCGAGGTTGGTATAAGTTGTCATCGTTGTTGTTCTTGTTGTTCTTCGATAGCCATGCTGAGATTTATAGAAAGTCGGCCTTTTGAGTCATTATGAGTCTAGAAACTTTGAATTTTGAAAAAGATGGTCAAGAAGGGTCAGAAAACTCTTGTTGACTTTAATTTTCAGTTAAGATGGTTAAGAAATGACATGATTATACGAACGCTGACCTACCACAAATGCGAAATGGTCTTCATGTCTTCTCTATAAGAACATATATGTTTCGTCATAGGAATATCACACGTATGCTTAGTATTTCACTAAAACACGGCTTTAGGGACGAATGACATAATAGAGCCACCGACAAAACCTTTCTTAGATGGTTTGCCTTCATGAAATCTCGCTCAACTGATGGTATTCAATATCTCTTGTGAATAAAATTTCGAAATTACCAGGAATTCACTTGAATCACAATTACTTTAGTAGAAAAAGTCATGTCAGTGTTAAGCTGCTTTACTTTAGCAGCTGAAAGATCACAACTGACGCCGCTTTTCTCCGAAATGAATCTTGCAAATTACTTGGATACGTGGAGAGCCCGTCCTCACTGGTTGCGCTGGCCCCAGCATAATCTCCATTTTTCGGAGATTTGCTGGTTAAGCCATCGTGGTTCCCTGGAAGCCCGAGGTCAATCTGGCCAATGTCTGCGCCAGTTCTTCACCACCACAAACAGTCGCTGTCTTTGTGGATCAGAGAGAGACTTACCACCATGCGACTTTGATACCAGGACGGTAGTGGATCCTGGTATTGGTTTACTCTTGGCTGGGCTTCCTGATGGAAACGCCGGACACCCTCTCAGTATGGGAGACCCTGCGGAGGGGATGAAGCTCCCCGCTCTACATCTCAGCCCAGCACCTAGGAACACCTCCCAGCCTCGATGAAGCGGTAGACCGTTGAGACGATCTTGCAAATTACTTACAGACAACTCATAGTAATAGTAACGACGTGAATGTTCATCAAAAACACTCAGAAGCGAACATATTTGCCGGAGCATCTCTTTTTTGTGATTCGACTATATCAAACAACATAGCAGTTATCAGCGAAGCAGTTATTGATTATTTTCAGCGATCGATATCGTGTTGATATGCTTGGGCACCGTTCTTTCATTATTCGCCTTGATAACTCTGTCTCTATTACTAATTATTCGATGGCGGAACTCGCGACGGCCGCAGTCTGGAGTCACCAAAGAGTAAGTCATCTTTAGAGCAGCTAGTCCAAGGGTTGTACAGCTGTGGAACGCGTTTTTGTCTAGTTGATTTCGGATTTATCTTCGAGTGCGTCCTTAGTGAAATCGCAATGATGGTAGCAAGTAGCTATAACTGGTGAGCATGATTGTTTCTGACCCATGAACTAGTGATTTGTGAGTCTGTTGTTAACCCCGTCTTCCGACTTGGAATACATTACAGCATTTTGTTCAAGAAACCTGATGAATACATCTCCCTTTTTTTTCCTTAATGCAGTTTTGCAACTACCTTGCATTGCACATTATTTTTTCAAGCTAGCAAAGGCACGAATTGCATAAGGTGAGATTGAAATAAACACGTAGAAAACAGCCGAGTTATCACAACTATCGATTCTGCCTCTCCCATTTCTGGATATCGCGGATTGTGCTTCATTGCTCTCAGGGACAAGTTTGCACAGTTTCTTTCCCAAACAAATTCCCTCTCTTGGAAGGATGACGTCAATCGAGCTCTTATTTTTCTCATTGATGAAGACGAAGGGACCTGAACGGTACTCGGCCAGCAACCAATTAACTCATGTCTATGGCGTTCTTTCTCTTCATTAATGCGAAAAAATAGGTAGGTACGTTGGCAAGTTTTCTATGGTAGCGAGCTTGCGCGGAAGAAACTGTACGGGATCCTCGCCGATGTAAAACTTAACTTGTTTCTTGTGGAATCAAAATTTTACTACGCAATGTTTGCACGAATATCCGATAGAAATTTTCGACTTTCCTAATGTTTTCCGAGACTGATTATCCAATATATTAAGTGAGAAGGTAGTCTAATGATGTCCCTGCTTTTTTGCGCTTAGCGAGAAATAACAGAACAACGGAAGGGTTTCAGGTTTTTTGGGCAATTCATGGCCTTAACAAAATATCGGTTTCGTCTTGTATGACAGTCGTGGCTAGAAGCCGTCGCTAGTTGCATCATAGTGACATGTTGCCTGTTGAGGGACAGATTGTTTCAGTAGTTCCACTTCAGATACCGTTCTGGGCAACCATCAGTGCTCAGCAATTCTTTGAAAAACGGTGCTGTTACAAATGTGGTCGTTCCCGCACCTTCAGCGGCCAAGCCACAAAAAGCCAATGCTAATGGAACTGGCCAGCCGGATGTGAAGCCGGCCGATCTGTCTACGGATTTAGCCGTAGGCATGTTGGATAAGAGTGCCGAGATCAATACTGATGGTGAAATCCATGAATGTCGCTCTTCACACTCTATCAATCGACCACACAGGTGAGCACGAACCGAGAGTAGTTTTGATGAATTCGCCTAGCAAACATGATGTACAAAAGCTGTAGAAGTTTCCCGTTTATTTGGCTAAATGGAAGTCTAACTCTGTTTACCACTTTACTTGTCAGTACTGGAGTTACCAACCCGCACAAAAACAGCCTGTGATGAAGGATCATTGTTCCGGCCTTCTATAAATATCTTAGGGTGTCATTTTCTTTCTGAGTGGTTGTATTATTCCAATCACTTTGTTTTCCGGATTAGAATATATTGCAACAAATTAAGTCACTTTTCTTCAGTATTTTCAGTGAGAACTTGAAGTAATATGAAGTTTTTAGGCCATCCAAGATCAGTCTTTCACCAAATCTTGCCAAAGCTGCTCAAGTTGAAGCTGTCCAGACGTAAGCGTTAGTCAGAAGAGTTTCCTTTTAGGTTTAATCATTTGAAATTCGACTTAACCCTAGCGTATAGGCCTTTGGTATTATATTACTATATACCAAATGAGTGAGGCATTTCGGACACTTCCTAGATACTTCGTCGGGAATGATATGTTTGAGACGTGTTTTTCATGGTTTCACTCATTGGTATAAGACTCAGAAAGTGATTAGGAGTCTGGTAGCCTTAATCTTATCTGCCATGGAAACTGGTGGGACGGTTTCTTCTTTAGTGGACTTCCATATGGGAACAAGAAAAGCAACAACTATTGGAATTCATATAAATTTTGCTAAACTAGGAGAGTGTGAAATGTCTTTGACTGTTCACAGGGAACACAGTGTCGACAATTTCATTGAAGATCTCAGGCGAATCCGCAATGGCAACGATTCAGTACTTTATGAGGAGTTTCAGGTTTCTTTTCTAGCCACCCTTGCTATTTCTTCATCATCGCGTTCAGCTTTACGTTGTAATTGTTAGATTCTCGAAGCATGGGATTTGGCAAGGGAGAGGAGTTGCTGCGCAGCGGAAAATGCTAAAACTCGCAATCGTTTCGCTGATATTTTGCCATGTGGGTTGAATCCTGCTAGTTGAGTATGTTATATAATAGATGAATGTAATATAATATGGGTTTGTTAGGGCGCGTGTGACACAGTGGTCGAAGGTGCCCTACAACAGACACGTGGAACCGATCCCTGCGCCCATGGCTCACCAAGCCTTCCATCCCTCCGGGGTCGACAGATTGGTACCAGACTTGTCTGGGAGGATAGCAACACTGGCTCGATACATCGGTAGGCCACCGCTAGTCATTGTAAAGGCCAGATATGCATTCAATCACCTCCAAACCAAACTTAATGAAGTCCAATGCATGGCGCATCCCTGATGGATTGATCAACGCCCAAAGCTTTTTTTAATGGGTTTGTTATACTAATATAACTTTTATAAAATATACCTAGAACTCTTGGTCTCAAAATTCAGTGTTTTAGCGTGCTCTGCTTGAGTTTTCTAGCTAACAGTAAGTAACAGTTTAATGGGTAATACGAATTGTTGAGATATGAGCAACACGCGGAACCACAGGTGTGCTTCGAATTCGCGATTATCCTTTCCGTGGACTTACGTATTACCACTACACCAGCGTTTGCCTTTCCTCTTGGCCAGTTTTTTACTCTAAAGGTGCTATCAAGGCGCCTGAAAAGGTATTCGTGGATTTGAAGTCCACTTGAGGCTCCGAGTTTTGTTCATATCACAGCATCATTGTGTTTATGAATACCTCGCATAATACCTCACATAACAGTCTGTTTGGCTCGCATATTTTCGACAGCAAGTGATTCAGCTATCTAGCTGTTTAAAGGAATCAACGGCCAACCTTCTGCTGACGTGAGCGCCAACGCCGCAGACTCTATTATCCCATGTTCCGAGGAACAGTTCTTCTTCGGAATCATCGATGACGTTGAATGGACGGCATCTTTTTATCCCGGCCATTTCAACGGCATCGCACCTAGTCTTCTCAGCTTGCTTCATCAGCTCCTCAGTATCTTACTTTGTGGTGTTGGGAAACGGTAGTCGACAATATTGGCGATTTTCTAACTTACAGTCAAAGTCCGACCACCGATGTTTTGTGAAGTTTTCTTCTCCCGAAGTTTGTTTATTACGTTGCAGTGAGTTGTCATTTTATCTTACTGAGCTAATGAGGGATGGATTAAGATCTAATCACAGGCAGATGAGGATACCGGCATATTTACACGACTTCAAACGCAGTGGTTAGTGATACAGTTAGGAAGCGAAGGCACTTCTTCCACCCTCCCCAAAGCTCTCCTCACATGCACGTGGAAGCGATTTAGGTCGCCTATCCACAAGATTGCAAGGAGAATTAACTCGACCGGCATTCTACGACATGCATAAAGAAGGCAAAATCTTCAAGCATCAGCCGAAACCACACGCGAAATGTTCGAAAACCTTTGTGGACGATAAATGCGAGGAAAACGAATCGAATGCAAGAAATGTTGGGATTCGAATAGTATATATGATAATGGGTCATATGATGCATGGGTTTATTTATATCTCAAAACTACAGTAAAATTCTGCTTTTCTAGTGAGTATAAACGCTCTGGAGGTATTTCCTAAAGCTGTAATTCTGTTGTGAGGACTCAAGATCTCATAGTGGACAATTCCATCAGTTGAACCCAAAGAAGGAATTATAACTGGGACAATAACTTCTCGCTTCTGGAACTGCTTCGTTGTTTCTTATCTTTCATCGATTTGTCATAGAATTACGGTTTCGTTTTTGTTGCGCAAAGGAAACGAATTCAGAACCACTTTGGTAACATTTCGCTCTTTCGAACTCTGGAATTATTGTTTCACTAACATCTTTTCCTTCCAGATCTTCTGCTTGTTCGGTCCTGAGCCGTAGGCTTACCATTCTCTCAAGACTGCTAAAATTGTTACCATCCTTGTCTCGAAAGTAGCGTCACTGACTCAAAATATCGTTAGACCACCTCAAGCCACTGTATAGGCCAGATATGCATTCAATCACCTCTAACGGTGCTTGATAAAGTCGAATGCATGGCGCATCCTCCAGAAAATGAGAATGAGAACTTTCTTTATCTTCAGCACCGTTCTGATTTCCGTTACGAAACTTTTGAAACCGATGTTGTATCGAAAACTCGTTGAAAGTTTCCTTGTGCGCAACTTTGGTGTCAGGAAAAGTGTCTATGGCTTTGCCTTCAAGCCTGCAGTCATATGAAAAGTGCTCGAATTTGTTCTCCCTTCCGAATTTTCATTGTAGTGGCTTATGCTGAAGAAGGTTTCGATAAAAAAATGCTTAGGAATTTGGTGCGAAATCTGTGCCTCAAATTTTTAAGATCCTTTTGAGAACGAAGAGTTAAAATCTGAAACGACTATTCACGAATTTTGTCCCGAGAAATTCAGTAAGGAAAGTCTTTGGACGTTTATTCCAGGCTCGAAACTCATTAACACTTAACCATTTCGTTTTCGACGGAGCTTTTATAATCACAACGATGCTGAGATATTTGCAAAACTCGAGACGACAGATGCCTGCGCTGGGGAACGAACGCGGTGTTATCCTTTCCGGGGCTAACGAGTTCACTACCACACCATGCGGGTCATTCGTTCTGCCTGTCTCTCAGCTAGTTCTATCGATAAGCACTAACAGTAATCATCCGTCAATGGGATTGATCCAGGGAGCCTAAATCGGCAACGAACCCAGTTAAACTGAGGCTGTAGTCTAGATTTCTAATCGTCTGACTTGTTAGGAAGTTTATAGCTAGTTAAGAACTAAAAACTCTCTAGGTCTATCCAACTTAAAGGACATATCAAGAAATATCCTATTTATATTAATTAACGCTCAACATCAACATGAACTAAAAGGAATACACTGTATTTGTGTGAATTTGAGGTGTACAGAATGAAGATGCTTGTCATTTCATATTCCCATCCTACTCTATACCCAATATTTTTGTTACTAGAGTTATAGATGACGACTCGAGGGTGATTCTACGTGGCTCAGACGACTACATCAATGCAAGCCTGGTAGATGTGAGTTCTCACTTCTTTTCATGGATACAGGTTGTCCAACTATCATCGATTTATGAAGGTTGTTAGACGCAATTAGGATATAAGTTGTCATGAAAGCTGTCTACGGTCAGGGTGTTCTTGCTTAACACACCAACATCCTTGTTTAACTGCTATACGACTTCGTAACCAGAATTTCACCATTATACAACGTCATCATCGACATAAAGACGGGGATTCGCTTGTTCTTCTAGAGCAACCTTTCGGCAGACTAAAAAAGAACCATTAAGCGCATCCGTCGCACGATTTTTGGACCACGTTAATCACCGTCAACAGTCACCACGTTGTTCATCTGATGGGCTGGACTCATTCAAATTTCGCATGGTTTATTGGGGACTGTGCAAAAGTTAACACATAAATACGAAACTTCCCTAGCTGTCACTTTTGAAGAAATTTGGTAGAAAAGTGAAGAGCCTTTCGTAGATCTATGAAAACTACAGACTTCTGCGTTGACGAACAGAGGACAGTCTGGCGCAACTTGCTCTCAGAGTGAGAAAAATTCTGGAGCTCTTGGGATATTGGTATTCAAGCAGAAGTTGTGCTGAGCTACGCGCAACTCTTAGCGATGAGTGAAACGCGAGTATCAAATATGAAATAGACTACAGAATAAGATATTACCTTAGTTTTATGAGACCATAGACAGTGAAACACGTATGTTTTTAGTGCTAATTTCCTTTTTTTTAAACATTGAATTATTTTTTTAGGGTTATCATAGTTGTAGTCAGTTCATAGCAACACAAGGACCTATTGGTCCGGAAGAAATCGGAGATGGAAAGAAAGAGAGCACGGTTAGTGAGTAGCCCTGTGGCCAGCATTTCAAAACCAAGTTGTAAGGTATAACTTTTACTTAAGCTAATGTACCAAGTTAAAATCATCATCAGCAAGTTAAGAAACTCGTCTTCTCTTTTTTCACCAGAATTAATTGGACTGTATTAATACAGCCGTGCTCGAAAACAAACTTGAACTTCCGTGTTCAAGGATTTTCTAGAACGTTGACTCAAAAAATCTAGATATATGGAAGGATGCGACGGTTGAACCCTTCGCGCACTAGAGCTTGAATTTGTCCACTCTTCGTTTTGTCAAAATGCTAAAGTGCATCGATTCCCTAATTTGATGCATACTTGGGTGCTTGGAATAACTTATAATAACTTATAACTTACTGACTTTAGTGCACTGATCTCGTCATTAATCACTGAGGGTGCCAAAGTCGTTATTGGGACGAACGACATTCTTTTGAAATATTTATTACACTTTAGTTGAAGCTTTGCAATGTTGTGGTTAAACAGCGTGTGTGGCGCAGTGGTCAGAGGTGCCGTATAACACACGTGGAATCGATCCTCGCGCCCGTGGCTCACCAAGCCTTCCATCCCTCTGGGGTCGGTAAATTGGTACCAGCCTTGGCTGGAAAGATAGCAGCACTAGCTCGATACATCGGTAGGCCACCGCCAGTCATTGCAAACGCCGGACATCCATTCAACCGCCTCCGACGATGCTTAATGAAGTCAAATGCATGGCGCATACCTTAGAGATTGATCAACGCCGAGAGGTTTAACCTTCTATCCTTTATTCGCAGGATTTCTCCAGCAAATGTTTTAATTTTGGTGAAAAAATCTTTGGACCAAGCAAAAAACTCTTGTAACTATAGGAAAAGGCTATACTAGTCTGGAATGGCTTAGTTTCTGGGCGTTGTTTCGTGCTGCAAACACTTCGCGCATTTTAGGAAATCGTTGGCATTGGAAACTAGATTTCACGAGAGCTCTTCTTTACGCCTAGTCCATTTTTGCAGGTAAACGACTTCTGGCGGATGATCTGGGAAAAGAACGTGCAATGCGTTCTGATGCTCACCGACTGCGTCGAGAACATGCGGGTTAGTTGAGGGGCACATAGTTATTTGATCACTTAAGCGGCCAGTCGTTATCGCAATTGAATCACAAGTACTCATTCCAGCTCGGGCACACAATTTCCACTTAACCTGCGGTTCCATAGTTGTGCAAGATCTCGCTTTTCTGGAGTGTCGAAAACAGTTCTAGGGCTTTCGCAGGTTGTCAACACCAGTCAGCTAGCGACTAAGTCGTTGAAACGATGGCAGTGATTGCTGGTATTAATTTAGTCATAGCTGGACTTTTGTGCAACGGACTCATTACCTAAGAGAGTTCTCTTGAACGATGAACTGCCGCTATATTTCGTAAGTCGACACCCAGAGACGCCATCCAAATACGACGAAGCGGTAAACCATTTGGGTTGAGACACAAGTAAACCGATTAGTCCTAACGTTACCATCGAGAGTATGTGACGGGAAAAAAGAAGTCGATCCAAAAGATGGACCCATTATCTCGTCGGTCTTCAACTTATTATGAGATTTAAGAACTCATTAGTACTTGTGGGATAACAAGGACATGGGTGCGGTCGGTATTTGCAGTTCCAGTTCATGAAGGCGGGAATTATTCTTAGGCGATACATTTTGCATTTCTATTTCCAGGAAAGATGGGTAGCTTTTCGGACCTAGAAGAACCGTGATGATTAAAGGGAATGTGGGAACATTCTCTGTTATAACTTTCGTTTTATTTATTTTCAGTCAGTCCTAGTTTTTCCATTCCAATTTTTTCTGCAGCTAATTTTGTCCTTATTTTCTTCAAAAGTCATTCAATCCATCCTTTTTTTTTCCTATAAGAGCTCATGATACAAGGAATGAAAACCAGGTTGCATAAACTTAAAAATGAGGTATCACGGATGCGTTGGAACGATAGAGATATATTCCACGAAGGGGCTCTTGATGTGGTAATATAACAAGAAAATTGTGAGAGTCGCCGACTTCTGTGAACGGCTTGGTTGTATAGGCCGATAATCGGTTCGAAATTTCCTGGATGAGCTACGCAGGAACTATTTTTTGTTTTGAGTTCTTGCAAACTAATGTTATTTTGAAGTGTGTTGTACCTAAGAATCTAAACAACCTCGTAGTGTTAGTAATTCAGCAGCGCTGCTCACAGTACTGGCCGTCGCTGGGCGAGACACGATGGTTTGGTGCCATCGAAGTGAATCTTGTTTCCGAATGCGAGGATCCAATCTGCATCCGGCGGGAGCTCAATATCAGCCTTAGCACTGGCAGCGAACGAAGACAGGCATTAATCATTTTTCATAGTTGTTAGAAAGAAAACATTTTTATAAATAGTAAGAAAGTGCAAAAGCCTTGATTTGCGTGGGAATCACCAGAGGATTATCCGTACAGCTTCCGGGAGTACTTAAGTGATGACTTTTAAGAGAAATAGGAGTTATTCCGGAAAGGGTTCTGCTCCTTACATCCTGGTAAAATTCTAAACCGAGGCATCAGCTTAACGTTAGCAACACTTTAGTAGTGGAATTCAAAAGAGTACAAACAAAACATACACAACTCAGAATCACTAGACATTACATGGCGATAGACATTGGAACCTACCAGAACGGAATGGAGTAATTGTGAACTCCAGTGTCACTTCCCAACTGCATGAGAATGAAAATCCCAACACCATTTTTTGGGGCTATAAATTGCAGCATAATACCCTCTATCGGGACTTTGGCTAAAGTTATGCTCAAAATTTTCCCAGATGGTCTTTTTTTATACAAATTTTTTATCTTATTTACACACTTTATAGAAGAGTACATCAGTTCATGAAGTAGCTATGAGGTGCGTTTGAATTAAAACTTGACAAGGGTCGGATAACACAGTGGTAGTGATGCCCGTCACCACGAGTATGCTGCTAGTTCGATTCCGCTCCAGACCAACCAAGCCTCTCATCCCTTCGAGATCGAGAAATTGGTACCGGACCTGTCTGGGAAAAAATCACTCTCTGCAATCCAATTGGGAACGCTCCACCCCGGCTATCCCAGGACTCCAGGGAGAGTTCTACGACATTCAAGATTATGTGAAAATCCTCTAGGAGCAACGGAAGCCACTCGTAAAAAGTTGGCAGATCTTCGTAGACAATGGATGCGAGGAAACGAATTGAATGTTGAAAGTGCTAAAATCCCCACAGTCGACCAAAAGACGGGTCAGATAAAATAAAACTTGACGATGCTTTCTCATTTTTTGTTTAATCTGGAGAGAAACTTTCCAAGAACAAGTTTATTATCCCGTATATTTTATGAGTTTACAAATTTGTTGCATTTCTGTATTTCTAGCAAGTCTCCTATTTTTTGTTATCCAAGTGGGCAGTTTAAATTGAATCAATTAATCTTACTTTCCTTACCGTAGATATTAGGATCAGAACACTGGAAGCTTTTGCTAGATATAGATTGGGAAACGATCTCCGAATGGCGTTGTGTAGTGATGAATGGGTACTGATCCATACGAAGCGGTCGAGTTCGTGCGTTGCAGGTGTCGCAATTCCACTTCCTGCACTGGAGCGATGCGCGAGGACCGGACAGCACCGTGCAGCTGCTCGACTTCATTGATAGAGTGGCGCGCAGGCACTTCCGGAAACCTATAGTCGTCCACTGCAGGTGAGCCCTGGCCATTCAGAGCTCTCTCTGATCTCTGGCTTAAGAAAGGTTCACAAAATGGAAAGCACTGCAAACAAAACGTGACGTGAGTACTAGTGGCTTGCGACGGCAATCAGAAATGTTTCGTTGAAAACGAATGCATTTCCATGCGAGTTAATAATAAATATAATAGTACTTATTTACACTCATCTTTCTATACTTTCCCTTCCGTCTCTCTTCCTTCTATTTCTTTTTTTTACTATTTCTGCATAATTCATATTTATTTCGTTCGATAGTATCCATTGGTGCGAGCAGCGCAGTGGAGTTGATGCTGTTCGATACGCGCAGGGCCGTGGTTCGACTCTGTCCTGAGTCTACTAATTCTTCCATTCCTCAGGGTTCGACTGAGTGGTACCGGAGTTGTCCAGGAAGAGGCCCTCCAATCTACAAAAGATTGCAAGCCCTTGTAGTAAATATGTGGGAACGTCATACCACAGCTATTATAGGATTCTAGGGAAAATTCGACTCGACAAGCATTCGACGACATTGATAATACATAGAACACAAGCCATACCCATACACAAAATCATAGGACTTTCTTGGATAAATGAAGAAATGTTAGGATCTGAGTATGCGATGTCGGGTCGTGCAAAATAAAAGTGCTCATGTTTCATTAAAGCGGTTCGTTTTATGAATGGTGACATCTACAACTTCCAGTATAGCTCATTAATCGAACTTCAAATCGCTTATACCAATTCTGATTGCTCATGAGGATGGTTTCATTCCCCTGGAGGCCATTCCATCATTCTTTGACCTTATCGATCGCCGTACGTTTCCTTCTTTACAGTGTTTTATCATAAGTTGCAAAAAAGTGCACAAGAGAGATAAAAGATCTTAAAGAGAGGAGAGCAGCAGTTATGGTAGAAGCTGCAAATTCAGTGAAAAGTATTCACAAAGCCCATCGAAGCTTCGTCAATTACAAAACTAAGATGATTGCACTCCCACCCAGTTAGAACAGTTCTAGCTTCCAGAAAAGCAGTGAAGAAAATAATTCAGGATTACTGCTCGGATCTCTTCATTAGTCGTGTCCTCCTACATTCATATGGATTAAAGGAGGATGGATATGTCGTACCAGCGATTTTCACTTCCAAAATCCGACATGCTGTTCTGTCGGTGAAGAATCGAACAGCGCCAGATCCCTGACAGGATAAGATTTGAACACCTGAAGAACTTTCCGCCAGTCATAATCCCACTTACCCGACTTCACACGTCACCTGTGAAAATCCAAGGTTCCTACTCAGCGGAAATCCAGCAAGACGTGCTACCTTTTGAGAATGGTGACTTCGACGATATCGCAAACCGTCGCCGCAATATGCTTGTGGTCTGTCGTCGATAAACTTTTCACTCGAGTAATCCTAAATAGGATTTGCAGAAACTGGACGAAGGAAAGCCATGTGATCAACCAGGATTTCGAAGAGGGTTCGGTATGATAGATCACATCCACACAATAACAAGGCTCATTGACTGCCACGACCGACTTTCTATTAACCTCGGCATTGATCAAGTGATTTTGTTCGTATTTTTGTTGAGCAAACGCGAGGTGTTATTATTCTTTGTTCACGATTAAGCTGACGTTTCGGCGAATTTCGCCTTCTTCAGAGCCTGGAAAGGTCAAGTTGATAGCAACTCACTCGGCCAGACGCCTCCATAACCAAACAAAGAAACTCCAAACCAAGATTTCAATCACTTTGAACACAGCTTTGCACACGCTTTGCACTCACACACTGCACACACACACTTTGCTTTTTAATTCCAGAAATCCGAAAATGAACCGCAGGGAAGAATGCCTCATTATCACGCGTGATATAGGGCAGTATATAAAACTGCTTTTCTGATGTGAGGAGCACATTATACTTCCACGTGATTTCTGTGCGGTTGGTCTCTACGTGACATGCTTAGTGGAGACCTCATAGAAAGCGGTGAGTGTGCAAAGCTGTGTTCAATGTGATTGAAATCTTGGTTTGGGGTTTCTTTGTTTGGTTATGGAGGCGTCTGGCCGAGTGAGTTGCTATCAACTTGACCTTTCCAGGCTCTGAAGAAGGCGAAATTCGCCGAAACGTCAGCTTAATCGTGAACAAAGAACAATAACACCTCGCGTTTGCTCAAAAAAAAAAATACGAACAAAAGGCTCATTGAAGTATCGCCAGAGTGCAAGAGACCGATTCGTCTCACTTTCACCCTTTTAAAAAAGGTTTTGATTCAGTTGAGATAGAAGCAGTCATGGAAGACCTAGACAGCCAGGGCGTCCCTACTAATATATGAAGATTCTTAGTGACCTACATAAAAATTTTACAACCGAAATTTCACCACTTTGCACCGATATTAAAATTGACATCAAAAGAGGGGTTAGGTAAAACGGTACCATCTTGCCAAAACTATTTAGCGCCACGCTCGAGAACTTCATGCGGAAACTGGAGTGGAACAACATTGGAGTGAAAATCGATTGTCGGCAATTACGGCATCTTTGTTTTACTGATGACATCGATCTTATAACACTAAACATTAGTCAAATGGAACAAATGGTTACCGAGTTCGATAAAGCTTGTGGTCTTCGACCAAAACTCACAAAAACGATGTTGATGAGGGACGGATTCGCTACGTATGCGTCATCCATGCTCAGGGGAATGAATATCTCCGAATGCTCTGGCTACATCTGTATAGATCGAAAAATCAACGTGGTGAACGACAGCCAATAGCTGAGCCTGAGGAAGTGGGCGGCCTGGAGAGGCTTCATAAGCGTCAAGGATGTAGTGGAGAGAACATAGAACACCCAAGTTTGTATCCACTTTTTCGTCTCTACGATTTTCCTTGTTTTAACTTATGCGTTAGAAACCTGGTCGTTACGTATGCAAGATAAAACATTTCTTAGCTTTGATTTGAACGACCCGTCCTCACTGGTTGTGTGGGCTCCAGCATAATCACCATTTATCGGAGATTTGCTGGTTAAGCCATTGTTATTCTCTGGAATCACGAGGTTAGCCTGGCCAAAGCCTTCCCTAGGTCGTCACCACGACAGGCACTCGCAGCCCTTGTGGATCAGGGAGGAATTTTCCACCATGCGACTTCGACACCAGGACGGTGGTGGATCCTGGTATTGCTTTAGTATTAGCTAGGCTTCCTAATGGAAATGCTGGACTCCTCAGCTTGGGAGATCCTGCGGGTGGGGGGAACGAATCCTCGCTGTACATTGTAGTCCGATACCCAGGAACACCTCCCAGCCACGATAAGGAGGTAAACCGTTAGGAGGTTGACCTGTATCAACGATCAAAAATCAAATACGCCGTTCTAAACGCCAAACTATTGAGGATAAGGTGAACCGAACACGTAATGCGTATCAACGCAGCCGATGGACAAAAGCCGTTAGTGATTGTATTTGTCGGGATGTAGAACCTACTGCATGAAGACCACCGACAGCCGAAGCTCTAGAAGTAAGTTATGACGCTTAACAAGTTCCTAGAGCAAGCAGGACCTACTGGGCTATTCTTGTACGCGTTAAGGAATTTACAGGTTCCCGCTTAGGTCACTCGACGATCAACGGGACGACAGGCGAGATACGTCCCCTTGATTGATGCCTTCGCTCAAGGGCTTGGAATTGCTCATGCTTTCAGTTGAATAGTCTCTGCTTTCTATCTTAGTCAATGCTATGTATGCAGATATGCCTAAATAATCTTTTTCATCTCTATCCAAAGCTATTCATTCTCTTCGTATTTTTGTTGAGCAAACGCGAGGTGTTATTATTCTTTGTTCACGATTAAGCTGACGTTTCGGCGGATTTCGCCTTCCTCAGAGCCTGGAAAGGTCAAGTTGATAGCAATCCACTTGGCCAGACGCCTCCATAACCAAACAAAGAAACTCCAAACCAAGATTTCAATCACTTTGAACACAGCTTTGCACAACACTCACCGCTTCCTATGAGGTTTCCACTAAGTATGTCACGTAGAGACCAACCGCACAGAAATCACGTGGAAGTATAATGTGCCCCTCACATCAGAAAAGCAGTTTTATATACTGCCCTATATCACGCGTGATAATGAGGCATTCTTCCCTGCGGTTCATTTTCGGATTTCTGGAACTAATCCAGAATGCCTCGAGAGTTTTTCGCGCCTGTGTTCTTGATTCGGATAAAGTAACCGCCTATATGACCGTCTATGTGCAACTCAAAATTGCATAATTTGCCCCAGTGGTAGAGACGGTGATTGCACGAGCTCGGGTATAGTTTATCTGATCTCCTGTAAGACGTGTGGTGACGAATACATGGGCGAAACGGGTAGACCCCTCTGTGTCCGCATAAAAGAACACCTAGCCGGCAAAAATAGACCAAATACCCCGCTAGGCACACATAGGACCCAGAGACATAACGGGGACGACTTCGAAGTGTGTGTCACGATCCTCGCACGCGAATCAAGAACACAGGCGCGAAAAACTCTCGAGGCACTCTGGATTAATTCCAGAAATCCGAAAATGAACCGCAGGGAAGAATGCCTCATTATCACGCGTGATATAGGGCAGTATATAAAACTGCTTTTCTGATGTGAGGGGCACATTATACTTCCACGTGATTTCTGTGCGGTTGGTCTCTACGTGACATATTTAGTGGAGACCTCATAGAAAGCGGTGAGTGTGCAAAGCTGTGTTCAAAGTGATTGAAATTTTGGTTTGGAGTTTCTTTGTTTGGTTATGGAGGCGTCTGGCCGAGTGGATTGCTATCAACTTGAGCTTTCCAGGCTCTGAAGAAGGCGAAATCCGCCGAAACATCAGCTTAATCGTGAACAAAGAATAATAACACCTCGCGTTTGCTCAACAAAAATACGAAGAAAATTACTTGATCAATGCCGAGGTTAATAGAAAGTCGGTCGTGGCAGCTATTCATTCTGTTTCATGAAAGGCGTTCTGTTCGTCTTTCGAGTTATTTTTTAGGCAAGTTTTTCTACCCTGTAATAATAATCTTTGAAGATCGACTCCCATTCTCAACTCGTTCCATTGTTTAGGATTATCTAAAAAGTGCAGCAAACAATAGACGAGACAAAAAATCAAGGTGGATTGAGGAATGAAGCAAAGGGCACCTTTTATTTTGGTTATTGTGAGATGACCGCAAAGAAAACCTTGACTGATCCCAGCAAGCTCACCTAAAGTTTGAATCAACGACACTGTACATTTCTAATGGGGTTCCCAATTCGGGCAGTGCTCACTCCCCTGAATTCGACTCGACGCCAGTACGAACACCCACGTCGCGACATGACCAGCTGTGGATCATCGACTCGGATCAGTACTGTCCCGAGGAAGACGAAGGCGCTGAAGTCGTAGCCGAATGAGAGTTTATACTAATCTCATGTTTGCTCAATCATACAGAATATTATTGATTATTGTTATCAAGGATTAATGAAAGTCGGATTTTAAGAATAGTGCAGTGATTTCTACTAATGCATATGTTCTGATTGCAGTGCCGGTGTGGGTCGAACAGGTGTGTTGGTTGCACTGTGGAGGCTTCTCGAACAAGCTCGACAGGATAAAGTGATCGACGTCTTCGGGTGAGTGCCACGGATGTCAACGAGTTAAGTACAGTTCATCCTCCGTTCATGTCATCTTTTAAAAACTAGGAAAAAATTCAGGAACAGCACTTACAACACTTGAAAAGCTAGCGGACACCAATACGCTTCATAAAGTAGACCTCATTTCGTTCTCTCTTCTTTCAGAACCGTCGACGCACTCCGTCAACAACGCAGCCGCATGGTGCAAACTCCCGAGCAATACCTCTCCTTGTATGAAGCCTTGTCCCTAGCAATTCACGAGCATAGGTTATGAACTGCTTGCATTTCCAAGCGTTCATGGTACATCAGTACAGCCAACCCATCCTTAACAAAGGTACCCGTCATACGCACACCACATCAAAGAGTGGACGACAGCTAGGAACAGATAATGTATAGATAAGCTCTTTAGTGCCTGGATCTTCTTTAGTTCCTTTCATATCCACCATTGTGAGCCATATCAAATACAGAAGCATTCCTCACGCCTACCTGCTTAAATTTCTGGGTGATAACACCATTTATTTTTAGATTAACTCAAACATTACGTATGTGTAGTTTCTCTAAACTGGATCTGAAAGATCATCTGCATTATCTGTAATTCACAACTTATCGAATGAATCAAGCAGCTACTAATAAAGGTTGCAATCGCTAGCTCATTTGAGCCAGTGTTCCATCTTCTTCATAGAGGCGAATATCTTTCCATAAAATCTCGTTTATTATTACCGTCTCTGACAAGAACGTATCCAAAAGGCAATGGGTATTTATTAAATACACAAAAGTATTTATGTACAAAACGAACAAGATAGCCACTCTAAACGATGTCATCCTAAAGAGGATAGCACGATAGTTTTGTGAAGGGATTTCGAGTAAAATCAAACATATATGTCTACAACTGACCCCTTGATAGATATAAAATTTGACGCTAAAAAGCAACTGGAGGATCACTAATGACGCATCTAGAAACTCGAACAAGAAAACATGAAAATGATCACACATGACGTGGAATGAACGCGTGCATAGAATTCTCGAAGTGCACGGACTCGACTACGATTGAAAATCGTCTTCGAGGATTAAGTGGACAGGCAGCATAATAAATCCATAATTCAGTATCAAGAATAAGGGTGACATCACAGAGGAATTAACACAAATGAACAATCAATACTCGCAGGTAGTCACGATCACAACCGATATCAGCTGGGCACTATGTCGTATTCATGAGAGTGGGACGATCGGGTGAGAAAGATGAAGTTTACGAAGCAAAGAAATATAGTGCAGTATCTACACGGATTCAAACGGCTACTAACACAATGTTCAGCTGTTGAAGAACGCATGAGAATTAAGGTGATGAGGGAGCGACTCATACCTCATCTCTCGGCTATTTCAACCTTTGCGTGATACTGGCAAGTGCAACCGCAAACGCTTGTGTGGCAGCGAACGGCCGCCGGAAGTCCAGTGTATACGCGCCACCTTCTATTCGACCAAATTGTAGAACTTGTTTACCGTCCATTTCAACCTAAAGGTTGTTCACAATACACAGAAGATAGAATATTTGGTCAGAAAGTGGAGTTTAATACACTCTGCGACGAATCCGGTTTCTAATAATACGCGATGATTTCCCAATTAACATTAATAGAGTGGTTGAAGAGATGACAATTCCAGACGTATAAGGAAAAAAACTTTGCTCAATCGCCCTAAGATTGTGCCCACATTTTATGAAACACTCTTTTAAGTCCCAAACTTGCTCGGGATTAAAATTTTCACAAAAAACTGAAAATTTTTCAAAATTCTATGGATAGAGAGCTTTAGACTAATGAGTTTTTTTTTTTGCGATTAATTTTGTCCAATATGAGCTTGGACATAGCAGTATATAATCCATTGGTTCTATTATTTCCATATCGTACGCACTGAAGTCATTGCGCGTCGTCAGAAATGTGTTGGCTTGTTGAACAACACACATAACAAAGAGAACATTTAAATTATAACGAATTAATTTACGAATTATAGAGTAAGAACATTTCTAAGAAATATATGCCACTTAGTAAAGAAAGCAGTGGTTACCTGAAAGTTCTTCGCCGACTCTTGAGTTACACGCCCACCAAAATCCAGCTGAAAAGAGGTGTGTGTAAGTTTTTTTCTCGATAATAAATTTTTCGCGCAGTGAAGCTGCATAAGTGGTATAATTAAACACGACAACCGAACACACCTGGTACACCTGATTGTGCTCATTCCAAAATGGAGTTTTGTTGTGCATTGTTATAATAGGAGTCGCAGTAGATGATTTCGGCACTGAACCCTCCCCTAGTGCACATTTCATCTCTTCTAAAGTACGCACTAATTGTCGGACTTCACTTCGAACATCGCCGCTTCCAACCTGGAAATATGCAATGTGCAAACTGTTTCGACAGCAAAACATGTTCGCCAAAGAAAACGATGATGGGAAGGACCTTTTTCTCAATCTCATTAACTCTTCGTAACAGTTCTTTCATTTGAGCACGCATCTTATTTATAGAAGCCCTGTCTTTCTTCTGAAATGAAATAAAGAAAATCAACTTTAAAGCATTCATTAAAGGGCAAAATATAACAATAAGGTAGATATAAAACTTTACGACAAAACTGGGATTGAGTTTGAAAGACGCTTGAATTTCAAAAGTATGGAGAAGTGCACATACATTGAGGTAAAATCACAACCAACCGGATTGAAGTCTGCATGACGATGACTAAGTTGACCGGCTATTCGCGCTAATTTATCAAGGTGCGCCTTGATATCATCACTGTCGCGCTGCTGACCAGCTCTCGCCACTGAAGTAACAGCAGTGGAAGAAGCCAGAGATGTAGCCAATGATGCTGCGGTGGGTATTAGTGGATCAACGTCATCAACACCATCTACAACAGAAAAGATTTAACACGTTAAACATAAACTTCAAACATCGTGATCACTCTATGGACTTATCAACCACCAGTTAATCAAGAATATAGTAGAAATCAACACCACCTTCGTAGTGCGGTAGTCCAATTTTTACGCTATGTAATCCAACTAGTTTATACAGTTGTGCAAATGGTTGTTGAGATTTCAATAAATTTCCAGAAAATTTTAGCGCTGCGTTGTAATATCTGGTTTTTACAATTCTTTAATTTATATAGAACAATTCTGAACCTCTGCCACTTTTTTGAATTCGTTCCGAAATGTTCTAATACAAGGGTTTTGCAGACCACTTTTTGCCACTAAGAGCAGTGAATTCAAATGAATTCAACCTAAAAAGTATTAAATAGCGGAAAAGGCTATACAACACTCCACCTCTAACTCCAAAAACTCCAAATATTCGCGAATTCTTCACTATTTCGCATATATCTCAAGAAATTTCTCATTACTATTTCACTTAACAAACGTAATAACCTAACTGGGTGTACAACCACAGAAAACACACCGATGTACTCAAGTGAGTCGATTTCATCATTCCACGTGCTAGTAGTGCTCATCGTCTGCTCAGTGTCATCCAAGCGAGATTCTGCACGCGCTGGTGACGAGTCATTCTTAGACGCTGCCACCTGAAACACTTGCAACCGAATCAAACCTACGGAACCCATGGAAAGGTCAAAGAACCATATTGCAACTCATATCCGATGAGATGCATATGTAGCAAATTAGAGGCATCCTGTAATGCATGTGCTAGTTCATTCGATCCCTCCTAGAGGACCAGTGAAGTATTCTAACATGAGCTCTGCATACGTCCATGGTTCAGCATATTGGTGGCAAATTTGTCTGCCAGCATAAAAATCCCAACCTTACATATCGGAATGGAGGGTAGTGCAATTCATTTTATATGCCAGACATACAACTAACATACTTACAACGCTAATGGAGTCTAATGCATGGTACCTGCTTAAAGGAAAAACTCAAGGCTGAATATTTTACTTTTTACGCCTTATCCAATGAAACGAAGCAGTTTTTCACCTGATAAGTCCCTTGCGATGATGACGCACCGATGCCTCCAGCATCCATGGCCGCACGAAGAGATGTGCACTCAGAAACAACCTGAAAAATGTACACTACCTAACACAAAATACGATTAAGTGTTACACCTGTACTTAAAATACAGAGTGACTACTTTTACGGAACTACGTGCCCTAGTTTCTTACAAAATAACTTCTAGCAATCACAGAAGTTTCACTTTCACATTTTCCCTTGAACGATATTCACCAATTCCTTCATACTCTTTTAAAATGAACTCATCCTTACTACTCAAAAACCATAAACAGATAGTTCAAACATTACCAGGATACCCTTTGCAAATTTAGGCTACAATATCTCTCAATGTTGACACCAATTAACGTGTCCGATATCTACTATGCCCGTACGGCTGTCACAGTAGTATACTCATCTTGGGTTCTCATTTTAGTAACTGCATCTAAATCAAACACACTCGATCAAAAAACGCCCGTTCTTCGCGGGTCAACCCATCATCGTCACGGTGCCGCTGTTGTGAGACCATCGCCGCCAATTCGTCTGCGTCACTTTCACTTGTTGCCGGTGAACAACAAGTCGATGAAACGTAAGAGTTCTTTGACGAAACTGAAAAAAAAGGTATCAATTTGCCGCATGCTAGTCAGAAAAAATACGTTTAGTTAGGATACCGCCAACTTACATGGCCGATCTCGAATTCCTCCGAGCATTGCCATGTCGATAGTCATTTGGCGAGGTTGTAAATGTAAAACTGATGTTTTGTAAACAACCTAAAGAACGGTATATATGCAGAGTATGGTTGCTCTGAAAAAATTTTCTACGTATTCCCACTTTTTCGCTAAATTGTGGTAAGCTATAATTTAACCTTCAAAGGTATGAGGCTTAAACGTACGCTATCAAATAAACCTAGTGTGGCATCAGGTACGTGTACTGATTTCAACTTCCAGGTGTTTTTGTAAACGCCAATCTCAATAAAGTCAAGAAATTCTAGCTTCATATGCCCTCCTATCATTGACTGATTAGTCAAAATTAGTTAAAAGGTCATAACACATTATAAAATGGTGTCATATTCGAGAAAAGATCTTTTCTAAATCCAAAATCTCCTGAATCTGAACAATAATGATTAATTCCCAAACAATTCCACTCCACGTAGCTAACTTTTTTTCTTGAAGTACCACCAGAACAATACCCACCACGAGGGTGAGCATGTAAGCTCAAAGCGAAACTAAAAACGTAACTCCAAATGGTGGACTTTCAACGTCTAGGACAGACTTGTACACAACTTCACCCATCAAAGTAGGAAGCATTCGAATCCATACATATTCACAACAACATAGAAGTTTTATTCAGCTGACCAAACGAAGTTTGGAAGCGACGATTTCTTTCGGAAGCATTGTGAACACAGGTTGAACACGTTGTTGAAGAATATACTTATAAAGATTGTCAAGAGGCTTGAAAAAGTGGCAGTCGGTCAGCAAGTGCTCCACTGAGTACAGTCAGTAAAGCAGAATTGATACTCGTTCAACTTCTGCGGCTTTAGTTGTGAAAAGTGTGGGCGACCGTTGCCGTAGAAAGAAATGAACCTTCTCTAACAGTCATGGATATATACGCTCCACTTCTACAGGATTTCATCAATTTTAAGATAGTACTTCTCCATTGTGATCGGGTTTAGACGACTCAGGATGTTTTATTAGACGATTTCAGCTGCCAAGAACCAAAATGTCATAAAAACCATTTTTGATGTAAATCACGTTCTGAAAACGGTTAAGGGCTTCACTTTATTCCAACCTCCTCGCTGACGTCATTTAGTAATTTGTCGCATAGAATCCACTTTTCACCAGATAGAGCACTGCAATGAATGACTCCATAAATAAACAACTAAACATTAACCAAAACATTGTTTTGGTGCACATACGGCTTTGGAAACTGACTGGGAGTCGTTGCATAGGACACACTCTTCACCGCACGTCACAACAAGATCAAGAATTTAATTTTTGCGGCTTCACGGCAGTGAACAACACGCTTTAGAACATATCATCTTTGATTTCCCGTCAGCTCATGAGAGATCCGCTTATCGAGTTTTTACATTTCCAATATGCTTCAAATGACAAAGGCCGAAAGAATAGTCGACGCTAAATTCTTGGGCAACCTTTTGTGTACTCGTAAGAGAATCGACTTCGATGTTTGCTTCCAACTGGACACCGTCAACATCAGATAAGCCGCCGTTACGCTCCTCATTTTCAACGCTCCCATCTCTTTTACAAAACTTCTTGAGCAACAATTATATTCCACTGCACGTTCACTCCTCCCAACGGTTTACCGCCTCGTCGTGGCTGGGAGGTGTTCCTGGGTGTCGGACTGCGATGTACAGCGGGGAGATTCATCCCCCCGACAGGGTTTCTCAAGCTGAGGAGTCCGGCATTTCCATCAAGAAGCCTAGCTAAGAGTAAACCAATACCAAGATACAGGATCCACCCTCGTCTTGGTATCAAAGTCGCATGGTGGCAAATCTCCCTTTGATGCACAAGAGCTGCGACTGCCTGTCGTGGTGACGACCTGGGGCATACTTTGGTCACACTGCCCTCGGGATTTCAGGGAACCACAATGGCTTAACCAGCAAATCTCCGAAAAACGGTTATTATGCTGGAGCCCGCACAACTAGTGATGACGGGCCGTTTTAACTTGGACCAGGGGGCCGAAAAAGAATCCGTTTCCATCTAATAATTTTGCATTGCCTAAAATAAGTGTGAAGTAAAGATAGCCAAGTCGATTTAAGAATACATTCATATAATAAACTGCAAATTTCAGCGATGAAGAAATCTCGAAGAACGTTGCACGAAGCTAGTATAAAGCCCCATAATACATCTTGTCAATCTGCTTCGTTTCAAGCAGGTACTCATCCCATATTAATAAGCCACAAAAAGCACCATAAGACCCCCAAAAAAAGCAAATATAGCCAAAGAAGGCATCCATTTTTGTAAGTGGATGCATATAAGGGCTGCACAAAGAAGTAACTCTATTTACAAACAGATTTACTCTCCCAACAACAACTACTAAATGTTAGCGTCAAAGTGCTCAACCACACACCACTAGCACCAACTGCACACCTGTCCAAGGAACTCCGGCAAATGCTTAGGCGACATTGATGTTATGTTGAATCGCGTGCACCAAACATTCGATGACACCTGCACAAGTCGAAGATCAGGTCGTGGCGGTCGAACATGCCTGAAATTGAAATCATAGTAAATAACCAATATGTTTCTTTGAAAACCAAGGTAAATAACATCTTTGCATCGTACCAAATCTGCTTTTAAAGTACGAATTCATCTCTTGAACTAAATAACATCAGTCCTGTTCGCAACAGCACAAAGTCAGAACTTGCTGACCACGATTAGACAGAACAGGACGAACAGTAACCGCTCCATGTTGAAAGTTTCATTTAGTACACTATATATTCCAAGGTGAAAACAAAAATCCAAAAATTATGTCTTCTTTGCAAGATAAAGAAACCAATTCAAAGAAACTGAAACAATTCAGCTTGAAAATCCCAAGGCTTGCCCTTTAAGAGATGAAAATTATCTGTCGCAGTCAGTTTAGAAAAAATTGAATCGAACACTGGACCCACAACACTACTAACCTATTGGCTTCCAAGTTTAACTACCCATACACTTACAGAACCTGGTTAAAAAACATAAAGTATTCAGTCCGAGTTCCACTCGTTCACTTGCTGACATCACTCCAGCATTCTTATCTCCTTTGTCGTCGACTTTAAACACATATGACAAGCATTTTTAGGCTTCGATTCCTTGTGATCGCTGTTAGCCAAAAAAGGTGAAATATTCGTATGTCTGATATAGTGGTTGAAAAGATGTCCTCTGAGCATTTCTTTTTCAGAACAAATCTGCCTAACGCTAAGGAGACCGTGTACAGAATTCACTACATGGCTGTACTAAAACAAACATTGGTTAGACGATAAAAAATTATACGAACTGTATAAAAGTCCTTCGTAAAAGAAGTTTTCTGTCAAGTAGTACCCATATTTAACGCTCTTTCACAGCTAAGAAAGCACTGGGTACAGGTATGTAGCACCATCGCCAGAGTTCCACAAGTAGAGCTCCGACTGAATATGGTTCATGAAGCAGAACCAATGCATAAGCGTACACAAATCTAACACTCCTGATATTTCGGATGGCAGTATTGATACTCTCCACAAATTATACTCGTACCGTCATTGAACTGATGAATGTCATCTTATGTTCCTTGTTTCTACATGAATCTAACTGGGGTTCTTCAAACAAAATTGAGTGCGACCAATGGCAATGGACAGAGCGTAAATGGCAACGGATGAGGAAACTGCTGCAGAAAAGAAGTGCTATAGTGTGTAACAGACGGGTTGCTTTATCGTAGTATCAATGGTTGTTAATGTAAGTTAACCCTTAGGTAAATTACCAAAAGATGTTAAACTGCTCCATAGCGAGCCCTTTCCATCTGCGAAGCAAGTATACATAGCTGGACAGAGACAAAGATTACACATGCAACAACCTTGTTTGAATGGAAAGTCTATTCAAACTTTAGTTTCGTAAAAGAACTTTTTACCAGTTTCGATTTTGAACTTTAAAAAAAGTAGAGACTTGAATGTTAAATCCAAAATTTCCAAAGATTTTACCAACTCAGTTAGAAACACTTAAAACAGTATATTGGAAGCATAGTAACCTTGACATAAGTGCTCGCAGCTGTCTCTTGCTCCTTCTCCATAATGAATTTCGTCCATTAGATGGTCTTGGAATTATCGAAAGGTCTTCTGAAAAAATGTGGATATGAAAAGCTTTTAACAGATCTTTCTTTTTTTGTTAAGACAACGATGAGCATGTGTAACGCAGAGATTAGAGGTGCCCTGGAATACACATGGGTTTGAGACCTCGCTTCAGGCTCAATAATCCTTCCAACCTTCAAGGGGTCGGCAAATAAGTACCAGGTCTGCCTGAAGGATAGCTCCACTAGCTTGATACATCGGTAGGCCACCGCAATTCATTGTATAGACCAGATATGCAATCAATCACCTCTAACGATGCTTAATGAAGTCGAATCCATGGCGCATCTTTTAGCGATTAATCAACGCCGGGAAACTTCCCTCTATTTTAAGACAATGAACGCTTACTTTCAGAGTTGCAAATGAAGGATCGTATAAAGTTTATCAAAGAGTACAATACACGACTTTCTTGATATCCAGCTGTAATTTGATTATCAACAACAAATACACGCATCGAAACTAACTCCTCATAAGCAGACACGATGTAAAAAACGATACCATGTTTGACTATCTGAAAATACTATTCCCATGTGAAGAAAAGCTCATGTACTCCTACATGAACGTACACCTTCTACTGTTACAACGAAAAACAACTACAACTGAAATTTTAGACTTTCTATAATGGACTAATAACACCCACAAGATGAAGAAATGAGTGATTCGATTAGGTTGAAAGACAACGGACAAAGTCTTTTTACACTCCTGTGCATACCACTAACCTCTTTTCTAATTCATCGACATTACTGGGTCTAATTTTGACGATGTGATAACTACAAGGTTAACCAAGTAGTACTTCACGTGCATGTTACAGGACAGCAACACTTCGATTTCGCCTTTCAGCACACAGTCTTTGTGAATAGTAGGTGAATAGAAAAAGGAACAAAGAATTAGCAAAATATTTAGTATCACTTACGTGAAAAATAATACGAGTTGGAAACTCTGACGCTCCACGAAATTTGGTAAAACGTTATCTTGGAAGCACTAATTTCTACATTTGTTGAAGAAATTTCGTTGCGCTCTTCGATTAATTATAGTGCCTTTAAATGAAATGTCATGAATCTGACTCCATAAAAGGGCAAATATTGTGGATTTGGTTGACGAACGCATAAAAGGCAAAGGACAAAGATTTCGCCGTTGCTCAATAATTAAGGGACACGCCACATATCGGACTTCATCAAGAATCCTAAAGACGAGTTAACGAACTTTCTTCCTATACCGCGACTTTTGGGATGTGCCGCTACATCAAATCAATGTTTCCGGTGACGTAGACTAATGGCAGAATGACGGGTAGACCGGATACACATAAACATAGAAACATCATTCCTACCTTCAGCTAACGAATCTCTGAAAATCCACAAGCCCCGTAGTTCTGATGACTCAAATGACCTTTTTGAGACTAACTGATAACCATATGAGAACCGACTGAGCAGGAAATAGTATCGAAGACGTGGAGAACGCGAAAAGTAATTTTCTACCTAACGCTGTCATCAGCTACCAGTGGTCAGCGGGATTGATTTAGGAAGCAAAAATCGGCATTCAACCCAGTTAAGCTGAGGCTGTAGTCTAAGAACAGTAGTAATAACGCAGTATTTTCAAAAAGCGAAGAAAACAACATTGAGAGTTAACACAATTCCCACTTCTCAAATTCTCTCGTAGAACCTTCACATAGGTTAAGGTTCAACATGGCCACAAAGTGCATCACTAATGTTAACACCTCTCAGACCATGGAATGATATTTCAGCGTTACAGCTCCCTTTCTGGAAAGACAGACCACTCCGCGTACGTCAGGGCTGGTCGACTGTCGCCAAACACTATCGATTCACCCCTCAATTTGAACACGAAAACCTGTCCTGATAGAAACAACGTGACAATCACATGGTGCAAAACGGAAACGAATCGATTGGCGGCTTCAGCTCGTGAATCTCGTTTGCATATGAAACAAATCTCTAGGTTGGAAAACTGCAACGTAAGCGAATTCAAGTGAAAGCAGTGTTTTCTTTTCAACGATGATTACAGAAATTAACTATGACGTAAAGTAAAGAGACCATTGATCAAATGACCTAATCACTAACGTAAACTCTTCAGTGTTCCCCTAGAAAACAGTATAGGACCACATTCTCCGTGAAGCAACGACAATACAAAACAAAAGTCGAAAGATACAAAGGGTCACGAAATCCATAGCAGTAAAGATAAAGAGACTCACCAACTTGGGCAGAGGATCCAGTAGAAAACACTTGACGATCAGCAGGATGCAAAGAGATGTGAAACTGTGGCAAAAATCGGTTCACCTGCCGTCCTTAAACGAAGTAAATATGAGGAAAAAAAGGAACTTAAGCGACAAGTATTGAAAGAAACGCTAATGGGAACACAAATCTCAAGTAGTAGTAGAACATATCCTGTTCATGGAAGAATTCTCTATTCAAGGGATAAAAATTTCTCAATTTAGGTACAAAAGAACACAAAAGAGCTCTTGGAGACAGGATGAGAAAACGACCTACAAACAATAAACTGCAGACTCAAGAAGGAAGACACTAGCATAAGCACAGAAAAACACCTCATAGAAAGCCGAGGCTGTACTCACCTACAAGAAGTGGTACTAGTCCTCCAAGATGCTCCATGCACAGGACATAGGAGTGACTTCCCCTAGACAGCGGCTTGATCGTGCAGTAGCACCTTGCTTCACTAGCACTGCACACGAAAGAGCACAGATCATCGACTCGTGGTATCCGACACTGAAACCGCAAAGGAAACTGGAACAGAACCTACAACCGAGACCTGGTTGCCTTTATTTCCGCAAATTCATGAGCTCCGAACGTCATCGCGAAAGAAGTAACTGCATGAAAGTTCCTCGGCTTTGACTACAAAATTATTAATTGTGATTGACACATCACTTCATAACCGTATGATGTCTTATTTAACCAACTAGGTTGGTTTTGTACTTGTTAATTGGCGCGAGTTATTCTAAGCAACGCAGTCTCCAATTAACGAGAGAAAAATGAATAGGATACGGAAATGTCACGTAATCACACTTTTCACAACAAAGTTCGAAAAAAAACTGGCAACAAATCACGTGGGCGAATAGAAATGAAAGATAGAGGGCTACATTTGGACTGAGAACTGAAATTTCTGCGTTTACTGGTTCTTCCTCGCTATGCGGCTCAATTCTATGAAATGTGAGACACGGAGTGAGCTAAATGGATGTCAAAAAAGGAAGATATAAGCAGAAGAAACCACGAAAATGAATAACTCTCACCCGAATAATGTGATGATCGAGGACTTTGAGTGCATTCTTCTCCTTCAGAGGAATTGGCAACGAGTCAACCTTCCTCGACTGTGACCCGAGATATCGCCACAGTTCATAAGTGACTAGATCGAATAACGGGGGGACATCAAGCAGAAGCCGGCCAATGGCTAGATGACCGCCAGCCGCGACAATGATCGCTTGGCCTTCGTGGGCCCAAGTAAGCGCTGAGAGCGATTTCTCTCTGGGCAACGACAACGTCTCCTTGTGTATGACTCTAGCTTCTCGATCTAACATCAACAGCTCATGGTTAGAATTGATAGCGGCGAGAATTGAACCATCTGAATTCCACTGCATCTGTGTAACGGAATGTGGCGACTCGTACACCAGAGGATCTATTTGATCGAAACCGCTTATCATTAGAATCTTGTTCGCACTGGTCAAAATCGCCAGAATCCACCGATCGTCCTTCGCATTCGTTGGAGAGCCTGCTAACTTCACGATGGGATCAGAGGTAAACGAACGTTCAGTAATGTTCGCTCCTTGATCGGACAGTACTTGGATGCTGCCCGAAGTGAAGCCAAGCACGAGCTGTCGGGAATCGGGAGTCCATATGCCGGCAGTGACGGTAACCGCTGTTGGGAACGAATTGCTCCAAACGCGTTGGCCAGTCGAAGACCCGATCAGCACGAAGTTGTCTTCGTAGCAGATGAGTGCCGACGATCCGCACGGACTCCAGCTGAGGTCGCGCACCTTGACGCCGCGGTCGTTCACCAGCTCGACGGACCAGCGGTCGTCGTTGCGCACCCACACGTAGATCACACCAGACGAGTCGCATGAGGCCAGTTTTGTCTGCACGCGGTTCCACGTCACCATGCAGATGGCCGAGTGATGGCCCCTGAGGTTGAAATTGTAGCGGCTATTATCGTCATCAGTAGGATGAAGATCAGTGATTGTGATGCCAACGGAGCCCGAGTCGGAGCCGACACCGAGTAGCCCGTGTCCGGGCCGGTCCGCTTGCGGGACCCAGGCCAGGTGGGTGACTGCCGGCTCGATCCGTGCGCCCGGCCAGTCTCCACTCTCCCAGATGATCTTCATCGACGGAGCACTAGACGAACATCGGCGAACAGCAAGCGCCCGCCCGCCTCGCGCAGCGCGTCGTCGCACCTGCGGCCGCGCCTGCCTCTCTGGCCGTCCTCTTCCGCGCGGGACCCGCCGCGGCTTTGGCTACTTGCCGTCCGCGCGGCTTCTGGACGACGTCGATCATGCTGCAGCGTTCCCAGGGTTGTGGTGTGGCACATGAGCTTTCTCCATTTTCCCAGATGACAAGTAATTCCATCATCGTGGGCTGTCTTAGTTATTCGAAGAGAAGCAGGCGCGATATATATAGCCGCTAAGTAGTATTTAAAAGCTTCCGTCTAAGCTCGGTCAGGATAATCGGTGTGCGTCTTCTTTTTCATTGGTGAACTTACACGACATGGTGACTCACCTGCTCTTACTTCATTACTTGTTTCCTTATCCAGTGTTGAAGAGGGAGAAAAAGTCGAAGCGCTAGTCGCATGTGTTTGATAACAACCTCGTGTTAACTTATCAGTGAAAGAAGCCCCCAAGTGTGATGTATCTATGCTTTCTGTCTCTAGGAGCTTTCATTTCTGTTCATCGGTGTTCTTGACTTCGTGTTTGGGGTATCCTTAGCTAGCATTAGCCATTCGTGCACTAGGGCTTAAACTTCGCTCGCTATTTCTTGCAGATTATTTTGCACCCGTTTTTGCTAGCCTACAATTCGGCCTATGTTAAATCATCCCGGAAATCCATATCGCTGGAGATGCTTCGGTGTTTTTATGTTTTAGTCCTATTACACATGTTTATAATCTCCCTCACATTGTCGTCTCATGTTTGGGAGAGTTAGCAGGCAATGCGTTTCAGAAAATCGGGTGGAAGTTATGTCCTTCTAAGTTTGTGCACTGTAAGATTGCTGTTATTGAAGCGTAGTGTATAACCCTGCTGAAAGTACCAATGCTACTCAGTGTGTCTTCTCCATGTGTGCTAAATTTCAGGAGGCACGAAGCAGTAATATCGACTTCATTCGTTCAACTTCCATCCTCGACAACGTATGGCTTTAAATAGCAATCCTTTCGCAGATCCCTTTGCTGTGAGTTTGAAGTTTTTATATTTTTCTGTAGTTACTCTTACTTTCGACTGTTTGTTAACCAATGGGCACTACTTGCAAATGTCCCGATGTCTGATAGAGTGTCAACGCGGACCAGAAACGACAGTATGTGTGCCTTGATACTCCTTGGATTCAGGAGAGGGGTGTAGTAGGAGAGTTTCTTTTGCTTAGAATGTTGCATGGTTTCACTTGCATATCATTCGTGTCAGTTTAGCCAAGAAGCTGTAAAAGGCAACGGAGAAATTTGGGACATGCATCAAGTACGTTAACATCAGGTAAGCCTTATGGAAGCAGCAAAATGCCAGTCCGACGAATATCGTGAAGGTGCCCACATCATTTGTAAAAGCTGGTCATCTTAATATGGTGGGAAGTATTTCAAATGATGTTAAAGTTAATTATTCAGTTATTCAACACCAGTGATCAGTTATTCAACACCAGTGATCATTCATGGAGTTTACCTCAGCTCTACCAAGGATCGCCCAGCCTGTAAATAAGAGCGATGCAAGAAACGAATAAATATTGGATTTGCTTTATCATCAAATATCGTATTGCACTGCGAAACACACGTTCGGTTAGCAATGCTCGATCCCACCACGTCTCGCAGTTCCTTGAGCATCGCAGACTACATGTGGTCTAAAACTCGTATAAATCTAAGCCAGCATTCCGTTCAAGAGAGTTTCTTCGAATCCAACTGTGACAATAAAATGAGTGAACATAGCAGGCAGATATACTCTGCTCTTACCACTTCACAATGAGAGTGCTCTTCCATGCACACCCGTTGGCAGAGTGATGGTCCTATGCGCCCATTCGAATCTAGCAACCCGGCTGAGATATCATTCCACATCGTTCTCCATGTTACTCATGCTTTACGCTGATCGTCTATCCTGGTCTCTAAAGCATTCCTTTCACCACAAGCACCTCGAAAACTTCATGAAACGCATAAAGGTACCCGAGCGACGTTTGACAGTCACCGCAAGCACTCATGTATAGAATCTAATTTCTGTGTATGCATTGAGCTTATTGGGCGAATTACTATGGCAACCACATCTTATGCCGAAACAGGCTTACTGAAATGATTTTTTAGTGAAAAAAAGTGTAGGAGCTTGGCATTTCTCTACGAACCTATTATTTAAAGGTAAATAGGTGCTGGCTTCACCACTGCGTGCTTTAACTTTTATTTAATATTCAAACCCGCGCTTACTCTTTTTGGGAGCTCTTGTGCTATCCACCACAGCAGCTGACGCCCTTGCTTTGTCTTTCTCTCAACCAGTTTTTTACTCTAACGGTACTACTAGCAATATGCCGATTAGTTATTTGTCATTAATGTAGGTAAACACAACGTAGGATTTGTTCTCACATTTTTTCGGTTATATTCAGGTGTGTTTGAGCTGAACAGTGTTTTGTAGGAATTCCTCACCACAGTAGTGAACAAAAGGTTAGATTTGAAAAATGCGCACAATGAATCAGTTTTAAATATCGCAACTGAAGTAAGAATTTTAGATCACATATGCATGCATGTGTATACGCATACATATGTATGTAATATATATATATATTATGTATGTATAAGGAATGGAGGATAAAGCTGTCGGCGTTTATCATTCTCTGAGAGATGCGCCATGCATTCGATTTCATTAAGCATCGTTTGGAACTGATTGAATGCATATCTGGCCTTTGCAATGACTCACGGTGACCCATCGATGTGTCGAGACAGTGCTGCTATCCTACCAGACAAGTCCGTTACCAGTTTACCGACCCCGGAGGGATGGAAGGCTTAGTAGGTTTTGGACGCATAGATCGATGCCATGTGTACTGCAAGGCTTTAAAACTGCCATAGAATGCACGCAGGATCGTTCCCTGGTTCGATCCAGAGCCCAGGGCTCACCAAGGATTCAATCTCTCCAGGGTCGCCAGGTTGGTACCATCTCTCTCTGTTTGTGAGAATAAAAACACTGGCTTGGTACATTAGTAGACTACCATAAGTGCCACTCCAGATTTGCATTCAACAACCTCTAAGACCTTTGATAAAGTCAAATGCATGACACATTCTTCAGAGATTCATCAACACCAAAGGCTTTTATCGCTCATCCTTTATACAAACAGCACTAATGGATTTGATCGTACATTACCCCAGTTTAATGGATTTTCTGGATCGTGTACTGCTTGTCTGCCAAAAATGTTATGCTTGCTTCCTGGTTTTTATATAATTGTCTTCGCAAAAAAAAGTGAGGTGCACGGCCCATGAGATTTTGTCAGAAGACGAGAACAGTCCCTATCTTATTGGAGTTGGAGTATTCAATATTTTAATAGGACGTATCATACGATTATAACCTATCAAAGTCCCTCTTAGGATCCGTCGATAAGGGATGCTGTTAATAGCAGTGCTGCCATCCCAGATGCAACGGAAGAATTCAACCCTTTCGCAAATCAGGGACGGACCGCTACGGTGCCAACTCATCAGGTGATTAATTCGTCAAATTTTTAACTACTAATAGTGGAGAACTTAGAATGATCTTTTTTGTGAAAATTTTTTCCTTGTTTTTCATTTTAACACACGTAGTGTTCAATCCAGTACATTCCCATCCTCATCTTCTTATTCGGTCGTATGTGTTGGTGTAGTAAATGTTCAAACCCGTTTGTCCCCTTATAAAAATCTCTCCAGGTAGCACTTGTTTAGAGCACTCATTCGAAACAAACCTATACCTCTTGGCTTATACCTTTTATACCCAGGAAGCCTTAGCTGTTGAGAGATTGCAGACCAATGCGTTTGAGGTAAACGAAATGGAGCTCCTGATTTGTGAACAGACTGATTCAATCTGATGGTCTAACCTATTGTTGTTTTTGTGTAATACTAATCTTTTGACTTGCTCTGCTGAAAGCACTACTTTTGAAAGGAGCACAATTGATTATTGGACTAACAGAAAATAGTTTGGTCTCTTAGAGTCTATATAATTCACTATTTTTTTACACTATCGAAAATCTTTTAGCTTCCTTACTACTGTTATGGGTTTTAGAAAAGAGAGGAAAGGAAACACTACACAATAATCCAATTCGCAGTGTTTTGTTTGCCGATTGCTTTTCTACGAAAGTAGAGAAAAACACTTCGCCATTAGGCATCCGTTTCACTCCACTTGCTTTAATTTCTTTTTAAAAGGGCTACTAATATCGAGATGGGTCAATAACACAGCTGAGAGAAAGGCGCATAGTGAATGTGTTGAACACGTTAGCCCCTGGAAAGAGTAGTAGCGCGTTCGGTCCCCACCGCAGCCCCCAGCGGTCCGAAGTTTTGCAAATATATCGACATCTTAACCTTTCTATTTACTAGCTATTTTTTAAAGGCAGGGTATTTTGCGAAATATAACTACCATTAAATGCCGATTTAGGCTCTCCAGATCAATCTTCCAATGTTACTGCCCTATTTTTTGTTTCCCATGCAAAACAGCTTATGAATTCGCCTTAGGTAGCTGGTTTCGTAGTCTTCCTGATCTTGTTGCATATTATCTCTGATATGACAGTTTTAGCTGTTGTCTTTTGGTATTGCAACACTGTTTTTTGATGCCTCACATAACTTACGAAGGGAAGTACGGTTCGAGATTGTTATCTATCTCAAAAATGCCAGTGACTAAATCGTCGTTACAGACTGTGCCAGGGCTTGGTGGCCCATCTGTCACTATGAGCGATCAGCTTTTTCGTAAGCAAGAGGAACTTGAAAGAAAATCACAAGAACTTCGTCAGCGCGAGGAAGAACTCAACAGACGTCAACAACAGCAGCAAAGTATTAACACTGGAGTGTCCGGTGTGCTTCGATATTTATTTTCAACTTAATTATCGATAGTTCTTTTATCTGTCCACTTTTTGTATTGTATATTTTCTGAGAATGTTTTAGGGTCTGGCTCACAACGTCCTCACAACTGGCCCCCTCTCCCGAAATTCATTCCCATCGAACCATGTTTTTATCAGGTTAGCTTCCGTGTTTTTTGATTGATATTTATTTTAACTTTTAAACATATTACGTTTGCTCTCGTTTGAGTTTTTGGAATGATCTATTAGGTTTCGGATTTGTCACATTTTTGCAAATCCTACTTGGTAAAATGCTTGCTGAAACATTTAGACAAACCAATTCTTCGGTTCCCAGCAGTGTCCTACATAGCTCTACAATCGTACCTTTGATTTCGTCATAGTGCTAACTCTTGGTGTCTTTCATTCAATTAATCACGCGCCGTGCCTTCACATAATCTTAGATCTGGCTTTAAACATTTTAAATACTACACAATACTCAGATTTCGTTGATCTTGAGCTCTCGATTATGATGCCATTACGAGTGGACCATATATCTGGTTTTACTATTGTTTCTGTTTCACTATGTGTTCCAATATCTGATCAAGTATTTAATTATTTAAAAAATAGGTTTTTCTGGAATTTATACGGTTTGCCTCAGAAAGAATGTGTTGGCCTAGCCTAATACTGTGCATTTTCCTGCTTAATTTCTCCAGTTTCTTGTCGTCTATGGTTTGTTTTTAAGCTTAGATTCTTCTTTCGCTGTTTGAAGGTGATCGTATAGGCGGTATAAGTGTACGAAGTGATTTCCTCGTTCGAGGTTTGGTAGTAATTCTGTATTTGCCACCGATTTCTCTAAACTAGTCATTCTCAAGCACCGCGTAGTTTAATAAACAGCAGCCTAAGTGGACTTGGGTTGTAATGGCCAATTCGGACATGCTGTTCTAAACTTGGAACTCCTTCATATTCTTTGGACATGACAATTTTCCGCGCCAGAATAGATGTTTCTTCTATTTCTGTTCTTGTTGTGCACGAATTACCCGTTCAACTATGCGCTTACTTGTTTTGTTTGTTTGTTTTTCTTTCTGAAACACGCACAAGATGAGCGTCTTGTATACGAATAACCAACGGAAGGGTAGTGAACTAGTACTTATTTTCTTAGTTTTCTTTACATTTTTTTTAGTGTAGCTGTTTTTGGAAAACTGATTTGGCTTTGGTTTAGCTTCAGCTGTTAGAATTGGAAGTCAGATCTCTTTCGATTTCTCTGCAGTGAACTTTATATCTTTTGACAGTTCACTCACCAACTCGAGGCGTTTTTTATCTCCTCTTGTATTGAGAGAATGACAAGTTTGTCATGGGTATATTTGTACGAAAGCAATGGTCGGAGACCGTAAAATGAAGCTTCAATTTTAAATATGAAGGAAATAGCAGATGCGCATACTAGGGCTGCCTTCGTCTCATTGCCAGTTCTGTGGTTATGCGTGATATTTCGCGGCCTTCTGAAGATTATGGGCAGTTAAGGCTCCACTTCAAAGGAGCCAAAAGCTGGTGAATCAGCAAACCATACATGCTTACTGTACCTTCTTTTTACGTGAGAAATTCGCGGATGAAGGGTGTTATGGTGCCAGTGGATACGTTTATGAATCCAGTCGTAATGTCGAAAGATATATGTATATTACATACTATGTTATATTTGTGTTATATATGTGTATATATCTATGCATGTATGGATATGTGCGCGTATATACATGTGTACATGTATGTACACGTATACATATATCTATGCATTGGATTTTTGGTTTCGCATTGCGACGATTTTGTGGGTACTTTTGAGCGTCAATGAAAGAGTGGTATGCGTTTCAGCGACTGAATAAATATTAACTCTCTTAATCTTGATTTTCTATTCGCTAAACCGAGGGCACACTGTTGATTGGTTTGACTTATGACAAGTGATGACAAGTTATGTAACACAATTCTATAAGTGGATTTAGATTAGTTTTGCTAAGTAATTATAGTACAGGTCTTACTGCTAGTTTGTTTCTGAATTTTAGAACAACTGATGATTTTAGATCTCACGTAGTAGCCACTTTGATCTATTTTACTTGGTTTTCTGTACTAATTTTTAAATCATAATGATACTGAAATTTGTACTTATCACGCGATTGAACCGCGAAGGGAGGCATCTTTCAGATGTTTTTCATTATTTCAACGATTATTTGACGATGAATAGTTACACATTGTCCACCGTTATCACTCCCAAGTAAAGGAGTGATTTTTTAACTTTTTAGCACCTTAACCTGGAGCATATAATAATTTTGTACTGATACAACAAGGTCAAAGTTAAACTCTTTGATGCGATAGAGATTTCATAACGGTTTTAAATCTGTGATGATTTCTATTAGTGTTAATTGCTGATCTTCTCGTCTAACATCGGACTAGACCCCTTTTTTCTGTAACATTCTTACTTTTACCTAAATTATCGAAGAACAAATGTTTTTCCCAGGACATAGAAGTCGAGATACCGGTTCAGTTTCAAAAGACTGTGACTGTGGTATATTACGTCTTCTTGATGTACGTTCTCGCGCTGTCTGTTAATGTTGTTGCTTCTTTGTTCTACATGCTGTTTGCTGGAGGTAACATGCTTACGTTTGATTGTTATTGTTACTAGTCAATTTGAATTGTTTTCAGGACCTGTTGGTCAGTTACTGCTGGCCATTATTCAACTTTGCTTGTTCTCAACATGCGCATTTTTGTTCTGGTTTCGTCCCGTCTACAAAGCATTCCGTAATGACTCCTCCTTCAACTTCATGGTTAGTTAGTTCACTCTTTGAAATCCTTATTATTTATAATCGCCCTTATCAGAAAATTCTTTCCAAAGACAACACCTGAAATTTTTAGGTATTTTTCTTCGTATTGTTTTTCCACTCATTCATCACGTTTGTTCAAACACTTGGCGTTTCCACGTATGCATGCGGATGGATAAATACCATTGAGACTTTTGGAGGTCCATTATTTTTTTTACCATTTTTGATTTATATTACTTAAACTTCAGAGGATTTTCTTACACACTAAATTTTTAGTTTCGATCCCAATTGCGTTGATTATGATGGTGTCGGCTTTGTGTTTTACTGCAGTATTGTGCGGTAAGGTGTACGCTCTTGTAAGAGTGCATAAGCTGTACAGGTATCATCATTGCTTATGCTGATTTAGGTCTTATTTTTTTATCTCTCATTTCACTTTACTGCTCCTATAATTGCAGTTAAGCGGGAGATCGGTAGCCATTGGTTATATTTAGCTCTAATAGGTCAGAAAAGATGCATTCTTTAATGAATTGCATCGAGGAGCAACTCTTATAGAAAATGCGCTGAGTAATATGGTTCACTTCTATCTAGGTAATGTGCCATAAGTTACATTTCGCAGTTGGGTTCTTTGTAATGTTAAGTACTACTGAACACTTGGTTTGCAAAAATCCATACCGCCATCCGAAACTCCATGAGGACAAGAAAATGTTTTTCTGGTAAATCCAATACCCATCGATGGACTGGATACGTTGAGTTTTATTTCAATAATTTTTCTAAATTACAGAGGATCCGGATTCTCAATCGACAAAGCCCGTCAAGAATTTACAAATGGCATTATTGCGGATAGAAATGTTCGAGCAGCCGCTTCAGCTGCTTCGACGGCAGCTGCTGGTGCAGCGTTTCAGCAAGCCAGTCAAGGACGCTTTTAAATCCTGTAGGTGGGTCTTAAACGCGTTGCAGTAACTTGTTCTCAATAGCATGCTACAGTAATGTTTGTCTATTTAGAAAAACATAGCGTAGACACTTATATACTAGCGACGGCAACTTACTCTGTGAATTGTTTATAATTAAGTGAGTTGAAGCAAAATTTGTTAATAGGATCAATGTTCCTCTATTCTTCACCTGCAACATGCCAGCACTTTGGATATCTTCGAGCAGCAGCAGATGGAACATCATGATTGTATGCTACTCTTTATTTCTGTTTTCAGCCATCTGCTTCGTCCATTTCTGATGCGTATCGGTTTTTCAGTTGTATCTAATCATTTCTCTGCTTTTACTTTCTGTAACTTCCTTACTATGAAGTATCGGCTACACTTAGTTTATTTATCGGAGATCTAACTAGGTCGGTCTTCTATGGGAGCCCTACCCGCAGTTACCGTTCAAACCTTTTGCAAGCTTCTTGGTGGCAATTCGTCAAATCGACGCCATTTTTAGTCGTTGTGGCAGATCCAGATCTTGTGTTAAGGAAGTTAGTTTTTCTTGTGATGTGTCCCTAAAGGTTTCAATTAGTTCCATTTTTTTTCTCCTTTCTATTTAACAGAGATAAATTATAGCTTGATTAATGTTATGGGTTTCGTGATGTTGTGTTATATTTTATGTCCCTGCTTATTTACAGTCCTGTCGTTTCGTAAAGTAGTTTTCAAAGTAAAATGTTTCCACGAGCGCCATGTTTGTTATTTATTGGTGGAATATTTAATCTATTACAAAGCTGGGCGTGTCGTATATTTTACTACAGAATAAAAACAAGAAAATGAAAACAGGAGAGCTTTATGATTAGCACGTAAGAACAGAGTGGATCATATATGGTGTGGTGATCTCAGTGCGTGATTTTTGCGGTCGCTTTTTTCTTTGTTTCGCCTTAAGAAATCTATTGGCAGTTTTTTGCATCTAGCCGTGATTCTTGATTCAGTGGATAGGTTATCCAATGCGATTGCTCCACCAGTGGTCCGTGAAGAGTTATCCTGTAATCTTAGCAGTTCATGGGAACCCTTTTTTTGACGCTTCATTGCACTCCACGTGCGGTGGGAACTCCTAAACGGGCGTCACGCAAACCTAGGGTTGCCCGTATGTGTTAGCAGTAATCTTACCGCTTCCATAAGGTTTTGAAGAAAATTTGCGATGGTACAAGTAGAAGGTTCGCTACGGAGGAGCACATTTTCTCACAGATCTATAGACTAGTGGCATTACTAAGGCCGACACACTGGTCAACCAACGCATGTTAGACGTGTGGCTTGCGTTACGGTAATTCTCTACCAAGTGGTGTTATGACGCCCTTATAGAAGTTGCTTGTTTTGTTGCTGCATTTTCTATTTGCTTTGTTATTCTTGCTTCAGCACGTCTTTTTCATGGGAATCTATTGCTCGTGAAGACAGAAAGCTTCTGATGGAGATGGGAGTCTCCTAACAAAACAAGTCATGCGAAGATCAACCATATTTTCAAGAATGGAAGGCGGTGCCATTTTGACATTTCAGTGGTACCTGGATTCTCCACTCCATCTGATCACCGAGTTCCCCGTGCTAAGACTCGATCCAGCTATAAGTTGGAAAAGAACTGTCATCGTACAAAAGAAAAAACAAGGGAAGTTGCGTATTCAAGAAGATTACATTTTGCGTATATCAAATACATTTGATGAGGCACAACAGGTTGATTCTTTGTATTTTTGTTGAGCAAACACGAGGTGTTATTATTCTTTATTCACGAATAAGCTGACGTTTCCGCGGATTTCACTTTCCTCAGAGCCTGGAAAGGTCAAGTTGACAGGAATCTATTCTGCCAAACACCTCCATAACCAAACAGAGAAAACGCCAAACCAAAAATCTTTGTTTTGCCTACGTCATCGTCATCCTTTCAAAAAGTACTAACGTAGCAGAGACGATGCTAAGTGAGGTCAACGAAACGGGAAGAAGATCGGGCTACGCATAAATAAGAAGACCGCAGATATTGTCCTGGGTGCTGTCAGTAAATAATATTTTCTACCATTTGTTTACGCTGTAATTCATAACACGATCTAGCATCACATGCATCACACTGTGCAGATCCTAGCTCGTTCTTGTATTCAATTTGTTTCCTCGCATTCACCATGCATGAACGTCTTGGAACGTTTTTGTGTCTTGCTTCGGCTGCTGCTTGAGGATTGTTTTCTCATTGTCAAGAATGATGTGGAATGCTAGTCGAGACGATTCTCTCTGGAATCTTGAGGCATCCGTGTTAGTGTGTTTCCGCGTAGACTGGAGTCACTGGGTTTGTCCTCTGGTAACAATTTCCCGACCACGGATTGATACAGACTTGCTGGTTCTCGGGCTGGATCAAACCAGCACCTGGGTAGGTTGGCCTATCCGCGTAATAAATGGGGCCACTACAACCGCGCTACTCATCCTATTTTATATACATAACAATAAAAAATAGCTTCCGTTGAAGTTTGTTCGTACGACGGTGAGAATTTTGTTGACGGGGAGGAAACAAAAATTTCTCCTAGCATAGAAATTATTGCGTGTAAATAGGATACTATGAACTTGCAACGGCTAGCAAAATTTGACGGCATCGTGGTCAGGCGATGGACGAGATCTTTTCTAGCACAACAAGTCGAAAAGTTCTGACTTGTTGATAAGCTTAAGCGAGACCATTACAAATCTGTAACTCGCGTAAGCTCATCAGTAAACCAGAACATTGATTACTCTTGTATCAAAGTCAAAACACGATGACATTCAAAGCTGCTGGCCTCTAGAGATCATTTAAAGGTAGAGCTGCATAACGGCAACGTATATCACATAAAAGCCAGAATCACGAAATCAAGGCAGTAGTTGTGTACTTAGGGGCTGCCATAAATACTGGAATATAGTCTGCATCGGTAGGGACATATTGACAAGAGAGGTTTGGGTGAAACGACAATGTTGGGACCCATTGGCGTTATCTTTTTCCCTGAAAATATGTTGTCGTTATGCAGCTTTACCTCTAAATGACCTCTAGAACCCATCAGCTCTGAATGTCTTCCTATTTTGACAAACTTAAGACCAAGGAACAGCATACATAGATTTCCAGGATCGACTTTCTCTTAACCTCGGCATTGGATTATGAATGCGTCGTTTTCTTGTTCAACAATCACGAGGTTTTCAAACAGCATGCATTTACTTCCATAAAAACACAATACAATACAACGCTAGCTGACGTTTCGGCAGTATCGCCTTCTTCAGAGCCTGGAAGGGTACACTGATGTACAATCTACTAGGCCAAACGCTTCAATAACACATAGAAAAAACGAAAAACTCTATGGCAATTACATGATCAACAGCTTCTCGAAAAACTCAAACATACGAGGTCAGATCGCGTATAACCTCTGGGCATCCATCCCTGCTATTCATTGTAGGGTTTTGGCACTTATAATGTATGCTGTTTAACAACCTCGCGATTGCTGAACAAGAAAATGACACAAGCATACATAGAATGGTCAGAATTAAAAGTGATTTGTTAAGTTGCTAAAGTTTTAGGTCAATAGGTTAATGAAATAAATGCTTTGGTGCACTATTCTTAGAAGTTTAGTGAGAATTATAAGACTAAGGATTTACGACAGTTTTCAAAGATGCGGTAGGATGTCAAAGTGTGTCTTATCTGTGACTAAGCACTTTATTGATGCTCTTGTGGTTGTGATGACGTCAACGATATACTATCACTCGATGACATATATTAAAGTTTTCTCGACGGTTCATCAACTTACATCTTGGCTGTTTGTTTACGTGTCGTGTTTTAGGCTATCAACTCAAGAAGTAAACTCGTCCGAAATGGTGTTTTCTATAAATTATTAGGCACTCAGAATGACTTTCCGGATCCGACTGCTTCTACATTGATACGTTTTCGATTAACTGTTGAAATAGGGTATAAAATGTGGTAAAAAGGTTCCCTAACCACCTGAAATGAAAATATACTCCGCACGTCCGATTCGTCCACCTGAGGCTCCATGTAACAGCATATAAGGTTCGTATCGTTCCTTATGTGTTAAACTTCTCGTGACAGTTTTTGTACAGGGAGCTGTGCTCACACAGCCCAACACAACGTATATGTTGGACAAGCTATCGATTCGATTCGGAAAAACTCTTGTGCACAAAAAATCTCCTTGCGGCTAAATGAACAGTTGGAAAGCAGACGGATTGAAATCAGTGTACATTGTCCAAACTTCCCCACCGTTGAAATTCAACGTATGCAGTGGCGAGTAACTTAAATATTCTGCCTTATTTCCATGTACATTTAAAATTAATATTCGATTTCCTACCACAAGTAGTTTTCCAGGTCGATCTCTTCATTCTTTCGTTGTCGCGCGCTAGTAGACTGTCTATTTGTCCCCGTTGTGTGAAATAGTAATCTCGTGACTTATACTTCCTTTTGGAACTCGCTGAGCATCATCTCTTTCTTCTAGGATCTTCGAGAAATATTTGAACATCAAGTCAGTAACTTTCCTCTAGACAAAGAAATCTTTCGACCTCGACACATAGGATTCGACGTGAGTGGATTTCCATCCGTACGATTGTTAGCAATTGTACATGATGCTAACTTTGTGTGAGAAGACCGTTTCATAGTTTTATTCAAAAGACACTTTGTAAAACACGGATCATGGTGCTGAGCAACAAATCTGAAAAAGTTACTTTTCATATTTAATAAGTAGGAAAACTTCTTTCGGATGAGTTTATTTCTTCCTAAAAGACTGTTCCTGATGTAGAGATCACATTTTGGAGAAAAATCGCTGAAAATAACTAAAAGAATAAGAATTCAAAAAAGTAAAAAGAAAAGAATTAGGGAGCATCTTATGGTCATATCACTTGACGAAAGAACGCTATTTTGGATAAGATGGTGAAGATTGTTAAACCTGGCTTTCGTCTACATTTTTAAGAAGTAAATGTCCGATTCAGATAGTTGTTCGGAGGAACCAATGTTCACGAGC